CTCAAAGCCTTTATTTTGAATTAATCTAATAAAATGTTGCACGTTGGCACTTTTTTATAAGTAGCACTCACAGTAACTCTATCTTGTTATCGATTATGATTTTTGACATAACCATATTATTTACTAGCCACTCTCGCGCGGTTTCACCCGTTGCTTGGCTCCTATACATCGTAGCGGGATATTTTATAGCCTTCCTCGATAAGTGGACTAACAAACACAAAAAGAATTGTTCAATTCCAGCCAGTGGTTCCTGAGATTAGCCTACTCAAACAAAGAAACAAACTCTACAGCTTTATAATATTGTAGTAGGTATAGATTACGAGGCTAGAGTTTCAAAGCAAATCCAAGTATTCGCACAACAACAAAACAGAATTAAAAACGATACTATCTAGATATAAAATTGTAAGCCACATTAAAGTATATTGTATGATATAATTACGCTTATTGTTGCATTATTACATCATTTCACTTTCTTTGTACAATGTCTTTAGATGTGACGATAGTGCGCGTTATGTAGTGAATGCACCGAACTGTAAGTTTGATGCACTTTTGTGATTAAGTTACGGGCTAAAACAATAGTGTACTTACTTATTATGAGCTGTTAAACAAAATAGTTAGCGAGCTTCGAAAACTGCGGATGACACGACATTTTGTTTAAACAATACTTACCTATATTTTAATTATAACTTTCGTGAGACATTCTAAATTAATTATGATGTTTTCGGCTTACTCACGTATGGCTTGAAACTAGTCGAGTATCTCGTCAAATTATTACGTGAGTAAGCTGAAAACATAATAATTAATACTTACCTAGATGTAGGATATCTTTTGATACGTTTTAATTACTCTACTACTATTTCTTCTTTATTAATGTTTTGTGAAATGCTACCAAGATTTTATTGTGTTTGGTAACGCGTACTAGCTATGGTGTTTGAATAAACTATGTGACTGTATCTAAATGAGAATAGATTGATCCGATTATGTACTAGTTGTACTGAGCTTCGTCTCACGCATATTATGGGCGAAATTAACAGCTGATTTTAATAGAAAATCTCTAACCTTATCTAAATTTCACAAACAGTTGAATAAATTAACGTTGCCCCACTTTACAATTTTGTCCTGGGTGGTCGGTACGTTTATAAACCTGTCCGCGAGCCATCCTGATCCACACCAAAAAATTTTAGATAATACAAAGTGTCTTTCCGTGCGGCAATCCAACCGAAGACTGGCTGTACGGCAGCCAGTTTCTCAGCCATTATACCAAACATGAGTCGACAATTATAAACAACCGCAGCAAAATCTCTTTCAATCATTGTTGGATTTATATTTAAAAACATTAATGTTTCAAATAATAATTTACTGTCAAAACCATTTTTTGTTTGACCTGTATCCGCTGGTTTCCTAGCCACAAATCTTAACTTACGTTACAACAATTACAATGTTACCTGACACACGACACGGCTGTCACGTCAAACGTCAACTCGGCGATACACAAATACACATACGTCACTTTTGACATGACGTATATATGTATGTGTGTGTGTCACGTCACGAATGTTGTGAAGGTAATGAAGTGTTGCCATCATTACGAATATTTGATACCTACGATATATCTTGCGGAAATTGTTTTGAGGGACGAATATAAATAACAAATAGAAAATTACTAAGATGGACATCTTTCTAAGGTATTACTATTGTTGTCTCAAACGAATTTTGAATGTTTGTTATAGTAGGTAAATACTAGCTTTTTCCCGCAACTCCGTTCGACTATTTATGGCGTTATGACTTCCAACACATTTTTCGTACAAAAACTATCCTATGTCCTTTCTCGAGTTCCAAACTATGTCTGTACCAAATTTCTTGGAATTCGGTTCAGTAGTTTAGGCGTGAAGAAAAGACAGACGGACAGACAGACAGAGTTACTTTCGCATTTTTAATATTATAATAAAGTTTTGTAGTTTTCACGAAATAAAAACAATTGAAAGTTACGTTTAATACGATATATTTAGATGAACCATATTTTGGGAACCACTTGCTATTTATTATATTATATCATATCCAGAAGCACAATAAAACTTATACATACATACTTTGTTCCACACACGTAGGTGTAAAAACTAACACACAACTCTATTGTTTGTACACAAAAGTTGATGAAAGTTTAATTCTGACTAAAACATAACCAACGTCTTACTGTTGCTCTGACCTGTTTGCTCGTCAGCTGTGAAATACAGCATTTAGCATGAACCACTAGAGTACACTTGTGTAAGCAGAGCTCTCAGAGTGCACTCATGAGGATTAACTCTTAATTATCTGATAACATTAATTACACGCATCGGTAACTAATTATGTGTTCACCCTTCGTTAATTTATTGCTATGTGCATGACTTCACTATGTATGTGGGTGTCCTTTGAGAACCGACTGTTTTCCGGGGAGAGATGGCTTCATCTTTATGCTAGTATTCTCTCTCGTTTTCTATAACTACCGACCACTGCGACGGTTACTACTTATGAATTCTATTCCTTGTGGAAGTATATTCAAGATTCAAGATGCTAATTATATCTATACTAATATTATAAAGAGGTAAAATTTGTAAGTTTGTATGTAATCTTTGGAACCGCTCGCTGGTTAAATTTCCAAAAATCTTTCACTGGTAGATAAGCTACAAAGTTCCTGAGTGCTATATGCTATAAAACATCACGCTACGAATAAATGGAGCCCAGCAGGTGAAACTGCGCGAGAGAAGCTAGTACTTGATAAAATGTTAATCAGTGTGCAAAACACACTTAGATAGAAACATGCAAATTCACGTGCACATCACACTAAAACCTGGAACTATACATATTTTGTGAATCGGATCACACAAAGAGTTGTTCTATCATCTTTCAACAATCTTTATATGTATAAACACATAATGACTTCATATAGGTCACTTTAAGTACAATTTCTACGCAATTACATTACGAAACATGCGTAGGTAATGCAATGTTAATTATTGCTCCAAGAATAGACCTTCCATTCCACATTACTGCGTAGAACCAAAGTCCCCATAATCGTACAAATCACCACGCGTTACCACATCAGACCCTGACACTGTTTGCTATGGTCTCCGTAGGACCATGAGCCAGTATATTATGAAGAATGTTAATCTTTATGACCATCGTCAACTGAGATGCTACTGTTATGTAGTTGATGGTGAAAGTAGCCCATGTATGTTCACCATGTTCATTTATAATCACCATTGGTACGTCGTCAAAATCCTTTATGTTATGCTGGCTTTACTTGTCGGTTTAGTGGTGGCAAGAGTGACTGCTAAACAAAAGGTTTTGAAACGGATATCAGGCATTTTCGGTTATAAAAATTCTCAGCCCCATAAAAGTTCGCCCATATCGAGCAAGACCACGATCACCCATCCCCCGGCAGGCCTGGATACAGGCGGCTTAACCTCGTTACGTCATACGAATGACATGTTTAGTAAAAACGCGAGTAAGTACATGTCCCCCGACTTTCTCCGCAGAGGTCAATAGTCATTGCAGATGAGCGCCAGGGGTTACATCATCACGTCATTATGAGTATGACTGCTATATGGTATACGCGGATATGTCATTGGTAATCTCTTCCGGAGTTTAAAATTTGATTGCGACAATCTCCAATATCTGTGATTGTTGATGATGTGACAAGTCGCGAGGAATGCGTCTCCTGCACGTTGGATAACATGCCTGCAGGTTACTTAGATAATATTGCTATTGGGATGGGTGGATTTCTTTTAACTTTTTATGGATTAAGTGCAATGATTTTTAAATGGGAACAGCAGATAAGTTATGGCTATTAGATATATTAGATATAGAATATATGTATTAGATATTGGAAAAAACTAGTAATCGAAATTTGCTTTGATAAGAAAACGGATATACTGATAACAAATTACAGTACCTAAGTACATTTTCGGAGTGTAATTTAATAATCTTCTCCCTTATGGAGAAGGTCAAACTGGGACACAAAAATACTTTTGTAAGGATTTAACAAGAAAGGTTTAGGCCTACTCCAAAGTATGAGCAATATCGTTACGAAGTTATATGTAAATTAATTGAAAGTAGAAACATCCAAACGGTGGACGATAACATCAGAGTCCGGGAAAGTATAAACACAACGTACATAATATACTGGGTGTGCAGGTACAATATGTATATATGTTGGTACACATGCAGGCATGTACTTCAAGTTTACGGCGCACGTGGACAGACTGCCACATTTCTTACTAGATAATCTGTGGTCCGAGGATTTCGATGTATGCGCATGCGTGACCGCCATACTAACTCCGACATTATGAGTCATTTTCAATGAAATTCGAACATCGTTTACATGCGTACGCGATCCAATTATGTTCAAAGTTGGTTAAATTGTTTGTAAACCAAGGAATGCAACAAGGTTTTTGAATAGTGAAACCTTCGCGATTACTTATTGCCTATGTTGAGGATTGTCAACAGCATGTTAACTGTTAAATAATTATTCGGAAAAACGGTCAAGTTCAGCCTAAAGCTAAAAACATGAACTGTTGTTCTCAACATAATGGCTTACCTAACAATAGGTACATCTTAATCCTAAACCTACAATGCTCAGTAACAAAGCGACCATTTAGCCCACCACACTAATTTATGTTAACAAGATAGTGAGAGCAATTAAACCTTCAAGGTTTGACTCAGTTTGGCAACAAAACCGCGTCATTTAAATCAATTGCCAGCAGAGTCATTTGTCGCGAATTCGCGAGGAGCAGTAGATTGGTGTGTGGCAACAGGGCGATCAGCGCGGTGGGAAAGTGTGGCAACCTCGCGTCGTTACAATGAGGGTACATTGTCTTGTGGCACAACGTGACACGCGTCCACTGCTCTCAGCATTGATGACTCTCCTTGGAGTGTTTACACCTCCTGACACTTAATTATTGTCTTTACTAATGAAATTTGCGTGCCAGTACCTAATGTTCTCTCTTTCCTTGTTTCAGCTGGTACCAGCGCTGGTGCTGCTGTCTCTGGCTGCAGCTACCCCCCGCAAGACGTACAAGCGTGAAGGTACGCCACCGTCCAACCTCTCGACTAACACTGGCACAGGCCTCTGTCATAAAACAGGAATGTCACGTACCACTAAACTTATCATTGTGATTTCATGCGGATGAAGTTTGTATCAACCAAACTTACATATTTTATTGCATCCAAGAATGTTGGCACAAACAAACAAATACTTTGCCAAGCGTTATCATTATGTAGCATTAATTCTTGTTTACATGGCAGAGGCTCTACGAAGTATTACTTACAATACGCAATAAAAGCACCAATACCTTTGTTCGCAGCGCCCCTGAGCTCGTCGTACCTGCCTCCCTCGCGAGGTGGTGGCGGCCACGGAGGCGGTGGACACGGCGGCGGTGGACATGGAGGCCACGGAGGTGGCAGGCCATCATCCTCATACGGAGCCCCTAGGCCTTCCAGCAGCTACGGACCTCCCAAACCTAGCTACGGACCACCGAAACCATCGAACAGCTACGGACCCCCACCATCATCTAGTTACGGACCTCCATCACAAAGCTACGGACCCCCTCCATCCAAGCCTTCCAGCTCCTATGGACCCCCTCCATCAAAGCCATCAAGCTCTTACGGCCCTCCTCCATCCAAACCGTCAAGCTCTTACGGAGCCCCAGCTAGACCTCCAGCGACGAGCTACGGAGTACCAACTGGACCTTCAACAACATATGGCGCACCAAAACCTTCGAAACCCTCGAGCTCATACGGAGCTCCCTCTAGCTCCTACGGAGCACCCTCACCACCATCCAGCTCGTACGGCGCCCCATCTCCTCCTTCAAGTTCATACGGTGCTCCCTCATCTGCCCCATCCAGCTCATACGGTGCTCCTTCTCCTCCTTCCAGCTCCTACGGCGCGCCTTCTTCCGCCCCCTCCAGCTCATACGGTGCACCATCTCCCTCCAGCTCCTACGGTGCCCCAGCGTCACCTCCCTCTAGTTCTTACGGTGCCCCATCTCCCTCCAGCTCTTACGGTGCCCCTGCGTCTCCTCCATCCTCATCTTACGGCGCTCCCGCGGCTGCACCGTCTTCATCTTACGGAGCTCCTCCATCCTCGTCCTATGGCGCTCCAGCATCTCCTCCCTCATCTTCTTACGGAGCTCCCTCATCTGGTGGTAGCAGCGGCGGCTTCAGCAGCAGCGGTTTTGGCAGCAGTGGCTTTGGAAGCAGCGGTTTCGGAGGTAGCAGTTTCGGCTCAAGTGCACCCTCATCAAGCTATGGAGCTCCGTCCAGTTCGTACGGCGCACCCGCGGCACCGTCAAGCAGTTATGGTGCTCCTAGTAGCGGCGGCGGCCACGGCTCAAGCGGCGGGTACTCTTCTGGTGGATCTGGAGGATACTCCTCGGGCGGCTCCGGTGGTTACTCATCAGGAGGATCTGGTTTCGGCGGTGGCCACTCTAGCGGCGGTTCAGGCGGCCATGGCGGTAGCTCAGGAGGTTATTCCTCAGGTGGTGGTGGTGGATACTCCTCTGGAGGCAGCGGTGGATACCCGTCAGCTGGAGGCTCCGGTGGATACTCCTCAGGAGGTGGATATTCCTCCGGAGGCTCATCTGGCTTTGGAGGTGGGCACTCATCGGGCGGTGGCGGTGTGCCGGCTACCATCAGCCAGAGCTACGACTCCAACGGTGGCTACGTGTACTAGAGCGCGCAGCCTGCTCCTCGCATGCAATAGTCAATTATTAAGTTGTCACAAACATCAGTATTGATGACGTTACGAATGTCACAAATTAGTTTGTATGCAATCGGTATATGCTGTATGTATTAGGTATTAGAAAATGGCGAATTTGATGGAATGTGTGGGACTCTCTGTTGAGGGTGGAATTGCTATAATACTGGACAGGACAGACACTAACTAACTAATCTCTGGAGTCGAGTAAACAATACAAGTTAGTAGGATGGGGCATATTCTGTCGAATCTCAAAATTGTGATCTACAATCGGAGCACGAAGTATGAAGTCGTGTAGTGGTGCCGCTTACCGAGTAAGCGACGCTTCAAGTATTAACATTAACTTAATTTGTAATTAATGTAATGAAATTGTACAAAAATTTAGTTTTAAGCTCTCAATTAATAATTATACTTTTTGTATAAAATAAACTTTTGTAAATATTAAAACTATTTGTTTTTATTGACGTTGACCCTTTGAACTAGAATTTCAGAACAACACAGTAACCAATTAAATAAATAAAATTACATTTAGATATGTTGATAATACCAGGAATCAAACCTCAGTAAGAATTGTATGGTAATATTATATCATTTTCTTGAAAAATGTGCACACATCATGTGACACATCTTTATCAAGAAATGAGTCCTTGTGAGATAAACGATTAGAACCTGGATCAGGAAGGAGTATACGCAATAGGAATAGCGGTCAGTATGACCAGTATAGAGGATGTACACAAAATAAAGTAAAGTCAACATGCTATATGTTTTATTTGATGTCGCCGGGGCGACAGCGGAATTCACAACGTTACACATATTTTTACACATTTTTTCATTTTCAAAATATTCAACAAGAACTAGGAATAAGTCAATAGTAGGTATATGTATCTACTAGCTAACAGTGAGGAGTCGCTCCCTGACCCCTCCAACAACACTACCTAATACATCTTACAGAAACATATATATATAATATATCTCAAAAATAACAACAAGAAATCAAACATAAAAAGGTTTTAAATCTAAAAGAACGTGTATATCTACTAAACTTATATTTGTGCTGTGATTGCAAAAGTATAACAAATGCAAAGAACATGTCTGTATAACATCATGTACACATAAAATAATGTAAATATATGTTTGTACGTGTGTAGATCAGGAAGCGTCTCCGAAGAACAACAACGATACCTATAATCTACACTTAGCCTATGATATGTACGTTCCACACTAGACTCTATGATATGTATAGTTACGTAAGTCACATATAGATTGATATGTCTCAAGTTCATAGTCTTAGCAAAGGTTAGGCAGGTATCACATCATATAGGTATATATATATATATGTATATATCTTTAAATCCGCAACGTATCGTAAACATTTCGATTTTGTAAACTTTGTTATCAAAAACAATTTTAAAAGCTTTGTATCAATAATGGCAACTGTTTATATATATATGATATATGTATAACATTATATACGCTTAGTAAACATGTTGCCAAAGTTGATAATATCATATAATGGCAAGATACAACGTTAGGGGAATACTTAGAAACAGTTCAAGAAGCTTGAAACATGGACATTGACACGCATAGTTACACGTGTCGGCCGGTAGCCCGGGCAGACACAACAATACTGAGAACACCGATACACATATAATTTCAAAAATACCAATTATATTACAACTAGTGGCGACGGCCGGACCGCGTCGTAGTATCTGAAAGCTCTTCCATTACCGTATTACATGTCCTATACAATTATACATAAAGATACAATCAGTGACGTCACTAACTCGGCTTTTGTTGCGTTTCCTTATAATTCAGCAGATTTTAGGCCTGTTATATGTTTTTCGTATAACATAGCGTGGGTACTATAGTACTGTTTCCATGTTTACATTATATTCCTTTTTAACTTGGTATATATACGCTTACATAGACAGGCTGCACTCGCCCCGCAGCGCGACGGTGCCCGCTCTGAACAATTATATATAATAATAATAGATATCTCTATACAAAGTAAACATTTGCACTAGAAAACAAAGCTCAAAAATAATGTCGCCGCTAACTCGTATCGATTACACTAGGTAAATATATTTTTATATAGTTGGTGCGGACTTCTGATGTAAATATTGTATTTGTTCATAACGTATGTAATGTCGGAGCGACCTCTGCGCCGTACTGTGCGGCTTTACAAGCACTGGACAACACTATACAGCACACACACACACTCGCTTGTCGCGTGATTGGTCACCTCCTCTACTACACGCACACACTCACACCGTGTCTCTATAAGCACATAACCACGTGTGCTCCTCTCTACATTAATTGACTTAAATAAGGAATCGTCATCAATATAAATTATATATAATATACATATATAAACTCTCTAACAACGAATATAATTCACATCTTGATATGTATGAGTTGCAAAACTTTGTAATATATTTCTTTATACTTTCACTACAAAATAATTCAGCTTAATTCATTTTTACATCAACTATTAAACATACATCTATTGCTTTATGCATTATAACTACACGATAATATATAGTTCATTAAATATATTTATGTCTGTCTGCTTGCGTCGTCATTACTCGTTCGTATATATATGTATGTGAGTAGGTAGGTGTGTATGTATACATTTACAGAATGGTTCGTTTGTCGGAAGATACGGATGATATGTTTCGTTTCGATCGTCTTGAGCATAACCTTGTCGTCGTTATTTGCAAAAATACTGAACTCTTCTGTTCCATACTTCGATGTAACGATCTAATCGAATTTTAATGAAAAGTAAGAAATAGTAAAATTTTCGGAAAATATAACCGCGCTATGGCGCGAGCCTGTCCTCGGTGGCGGCTCCTGGGGGCGGCTTAGAGAACTAATAAGGGTACTTATCGTCTCAGAAAGCCGTTTGCTTGCCGAAAGGCTGCACGGGCGGGGGCGCGCTGCTGCTGCCGAAGAGTGGGGTGGGCCCGTCGTTGGGGTCGTCCAGGTCGTCGTCGTCGGGCTCGAGAGCGGGGTTGATGCGGCCGCACTTCTCGTCGGGCCCCACCAGCGTGGAGGCGGCCCCGTACAGCCTGCCTGGCACTCCTCCCAGCACCGACATCTGCTCGCCTGCCTCCGAAGGCTCGTCGACGCGACGAATGTCTTCAGGGATGTTCACAACACAGTTGAAGTAGTCGGACTCGGGGCTCAGGTAGCCGCCGTTGAACAGGAACCTGCGGGACACAACACACTTGACCAACTGCGCTCATAGTACGTTTGAGGTTAAATAATGCATCGCTTTTGGCGGCAGCCTCCAGCTGCAGCTGACATTTGGTAGGAAACGTATCATGTTCCGTGACTGCGCTGATTGCTTCCTAATTGTTTGAAAGTCTAGCAATCATCGATAAGAAACATTTACCCGCCATTCATCGGCGAACATGTCGTTGCATCATTACATAAACACGACGAGAAAAACTTAATATTTATTGAAGACAGAAAATTAAGAAACAAAAACATGTACAGAAGTTAATTAATCATCAATCGGCATATTAAGACGCCACAGATCTGCGGTAACGAAAAACAACGCGAGGAAACTTAGTCTTGTAATTCTTATTATAAGTTTGAAATCGCCAATACGCCTTGAGCTAACCTGGTGATTAATGCTCAACCGTTACCCGTGTAAGGAGAGGCCTTTGCTCAACACTTATTGGCTGGTGGTGGGTGACGTCATATTAGAGTTCGACCACCTTTCATTGTAGTCCACATAAAATTAATCACTGTATGTGCCCCCAACAGTTTCTGAACACATATACCTCAATTGATGTCGCAATTACACATATGTATCTATCTACCTAATGATGTATATGGTGGAAATTGAAATTATGTAAATTGATTTTTAATTTGACCTGAATGAAGGAGAACAGTATTTTACCTTCAGTGAAGGGTCATGCAATAAACACACTTACATTACCTAAATACAGGAGCAGCTTTTTTGTGATGGAAAAACCATCAAATGTCTTTTCCTGCCCAGGATGAGACAAGAGAGACTGTCAGACTTTTACTAACTATAACCCTACCATTCCCCCCTCCCCTTTCCTTCTGCTGCTCCTGGCCGCGGTTGCTATACCTTATTGCGCTTACCCCAAAACCCCGGCTGAACATCAGCCCTATAGGGCTCCGTCTGTGATGGTCTATTGGTTCTATGAAACGCGTACTACGCGCCGTATGTTCGGATGAAGTAAGTAAGTAAACGATATAATATGAACAGTATCTACAAGTCGTGATGTACGCTCACTTTCCCATCCATTCCAGATCTCTTTATCTACTACCGATCACGAACATTAGGTTCAGATATAACAATGAATTACTTACTCATAGTGTTTTGTTAATACTTCTCTAATGGAACTGTCCGAATGGCTATCCGGTAAGTTTTTTTATGAAGAAGAGACAATATCCATTAAACGAGTAGTAGAGGTATTTAATATCAGTATAAAAACCGGGGCGCGTCGCTAGTTTTGTATATACATATGTTAAGTTTGTATAACCCTCTCTTCTGAGCTCAATGATTTTACTCTAAATTCGTAAACGAAACCCTAGTCGCGGGACTTTTTTTATGTAATAGGTCGACAAACAAACAGACGGATTACCTGATGGTAAGCAATCAGCGCCGCCCATGTACACCCGCAACGGATTAGGGATTTGGAGATTTAGGGATTGAGGGAGGGGAGGGATTCGGCCTCCGGTAACCTCATTCACACGGCGAAACACAACGCTGAGGTGGTTTCACGCCGGTTTTCTCAGAGGCCGTGGTATCACTCCGGTCGAACCGACCCATTCGTGTCGAAGCATGGCTCTCCGACACTTAATGACCAACCAAATAAAAGTGTTTAATAAGATTTTTATGAACGTTAAAAATAATATTGATGACATTAACTAGAGCTTCTGCTTAAATAAATCATCCGGACCGACGATGTGGTCGTGTATATACCTCACAGTTAATGCAATTCCCTTCCCCGGGAGTGACACACGGAATTAGATTACCTACAGCGAGGTCAACCTCCGACCAGTCATGTAATTACGCTGTAAAAACTGTCAACATACGTTGTAGTGAACTTTATTAACTTTAGACGATATCGTGTACTTAAAACGTCTAAAATGTTAATTTTCAGTAAATATCCAAATACACTACAAGAGACTTTAACTTTATTTGACAAAAAAGAAGTTGGTCGAATGTGTTTTGGGAGCTCCCCTTAAATGTTTATTATATTTTAGTGTTTAGTATTCGAGAGTTACAGTGGCAACAAAAACACATAACCTGTCTAAATTTCGACTGTCAAGCTATCGCGGTACATGAAATACAGTCTTCTAACAGAAAGAAAGACGAACAGGCGAACATCGAGTAATAGGATTCTCATTTTACATACATTTTTTCTAAGGTTACAGAGTCTTAAGGATCCAAACATTTAAGAAAATTAAGATCTTTTTATAGGGTATAGGACGGCAATCGATGACGACTAATAGACAGATTGCCTGATGGTAAGCAATTGACCCCGCCATCAGCCTTCTAGGGATAAGGGTAGGAGTTTTTAAAGGATTTGAGGGAGAAGAAGGATTGAGCCTCCGGAAATCTCTTTCACACGGCTAAACACAACACTATGGTTGTTTCACGCCTGTTTTGTTGTAAGACCGTGATATTAACGCCGATGAGTAGCTCTTTCATAATTAAAAACTATTAAACTTTACAAATTACTAAACTAATACCTAATATATTACACAATGCAATTTACATTCGCTTCAAAATGTATAAACCAGACATATTAATAAACAATTTAAATATATGTTTGTTTGTTAATGTTAACTGGTATCATTCACATTAGTGCACATAGAGTTATATCATTGCACTAAACACTAATGTAATAACTACAATACTCCGTTATAACACGAGTACTATTAATACTTATTATCAATACAACAATAACATCATAGCCCACTATTAAACTTACAATTCTATTTAAAAGCAATCAATATTTAATCACCATTCAATTAACAATATTTTGAGTAGATATTGGCAACTGGCTGCTGTGCAACGTGTCGCGTGTTCGATTCCCGCACGGAACAAACTCTTTGTGTAGTTTACAAATTGTTATTCCGGGCCTGGGTGGGGTTGAGTAGTTTTAAAGATTTAGCATACATAGGGATATAGGGACTGAAAAGGCGATCTTGTTTTTGGGCTGGCATTTGGCCACTATCATGCCTGGAAGTAAGCGAAGATGCGATCTACGATGGAGCACGCCTACTCCTAAGGAACATATTCACTCGGGCCTTGAAGACACTCACCTTCGGAGAGCACAGACCTTGGCAAAGAATTCCACTCCTAAGCGGTACGTATAACAACTGGAGGCGAACCGCTTCGTGGGCGATATGCACCGCGAAGGTAACGTTTTGCCGATTGTCTGGTGGAAAGGACTAGGGGGAGTCAAGTCGTGCAGCAGCAGCAGCAGCCGAACATTCTCGGGAATGTATCCATATATGCCAATTTTTATTAAAATCCATTCAGTAGTTTTTATAAAGAGAAAGAGAGACAAATCTTCATCGAACCGTACTTACAAACTTTCGCGTTTAGGTACAATATAAAATGATGTACGACGGACGCACCAATGTTTCTTTGCAAACTGTATATTGTTTGTGTAATATTTGAGAAGACATTTTACGACAGTAATTATATAATAACTTTATTGTAATGTACCGATTTGTTATAATAATTATTCAATTTCTATGTATTAAAGTGTTTGGTGTCTAAAGAGTGGGCTAACGAAACAGTAGCTTACGTAACTTACAAAAAATTCTCATTCGTTGTTGACATCTTTTTATTCCATTCAGGGATCTGATAAAAAGAGGAATTCTGTCAACTAAAAATGAAGACAGCAGTTTTTTTAATATTTAAGGAAGCTCGAAGAGATTATTTTGTGCACGAACCCGACTTGCTAATTGCAATTCAGTTCATTTAGCGCACGAATCCCTAAAGCCATTTCATAATTACCAGTTTTGGTGTAAAAATATGAGTTTACTGTACTTCTAACATGGCCCTTGTCATAACATGTTATTAGTCAAATTGAAAATCTGCATTGTGCAATTTTTTTACGGAAGACCTTGTTATAGCCACGTTTATATCAAAATCTACTAAACAATAACTATGAAATCAGCTGTTCCTACTCCGTAAATTATGTAATAAGTAAGATATACAATATTTGTTCAACCTAAATGTTCCTCGTTTGTGCCAACGTAAGCCCGAGGCTCCACAAGCTCTTAGTCAAAGCGAGGCTTTCCCATTAACGCTGACAACATCATTACTACAAGTATTACCAACCGATATGTAAACATTTACATAATGTCTCAACTTAATATTGCATTATTAATCTTTATTGTTCAAATTGTTCATTTATATTGTAACTACCTTCCCATACACTCTGTACACCCGTGTGTACACCAATCGAATGTTGACTGGTGAAACCTCATGCATTAAGCTCGCCTTTATTATTTTTCTTTACCTGAATCTTTACTAATATTATAGCAGCAGAGTTTGTTTGCTTGAACGTGCTAATCTTCAGAACTACTAATTCGAATTGAACAATCCTTTTTGTGTTCGTTAGTTTATTTTTTGAGGAAAGCTGTAGGCTATACAACATCACAATACGACCAGTTACAATCGAGCAGCAGCTGAAACCACGCGGACGTAGCTCTAATAAATAAATAAAAATTCACATCTTGACTACCGTTATAAGAAATGAGACGTTAAAAACCAAATATTGTAAGCTGCTGAGGTATTACAGGGTACTTAGCAAACGAGCGGATGAATAACCTAAAGATAACCAATCAGAGCCATCCATGTACCGCGCGATGACCATCAGAAATATCTATCTTAGGCTTGGAGATTTTAGAGACTTAGGGTTGGAGGAGGAGGGAATCGCTCCTAGTTACCTCATTAACAGAGCGAGACACAAAGCTTATAGTGTTGTTTACGCCGGTTTTCTGTGAGAATGGGGTATCGCTCCGATCCAAACGACCCTTGTAGTTTTTTTCTGGTAAACCTAACATTTTTTCGTAAAAAAATAAGCAACATATGATAATTATTATCCTCATTATTATATCACATACAAGGCGTGCAATCTGCTGGCGATAGGCCTTCCCATATAACCGGAAATAAGTAAGTATATATGCATTTCCCTAGAAATAGGTAACCTGTCAAAAGATATCAGTCATTATGTAATAACTAAATTTTTTATCGTAGCTTAAATCAGATTCCGTATTAGACCGCGAGGGATGACAATAAAATCATGATTAATGGCGCTGATATGAGACCTCCTTCTATTAACAAGTGTGGGAGAGCCATGTTTCGGCCCGAATGGGTCGGCGCGACCGGAGTGATACCAAGATCTCACAAAAAACCAGCGTGAAACAATCACAGTGTTGTGTTTCGCCGTGCAAGTGAGGTTAACAGAGGCCCAATGCTTGCCGTTCCCCAATCCCTAATCCCAAAAATGTCGGCAACGCACTCGTAACTTCTCCGTCGCTGCGGATAGAATCCACCATCCCTTACCAACACAAAACTAAAGATACAGTCTCATTATTTTTTTAAATATTTTACTATATACAAATAATGTCCTTCAATAAGAAAACACTTCAATATAAATTACAAATGTAAATAAATTGCCAAGCGTGGCGTGAACAGGTTGATGTAGCGACAGGACAGGGCGACCCCATTACATCGCCCCCCGCGCTCTGCACTCTGTTCCGAAAGGATGACCTTGTGACCTTAATATGGCGGCCGTCGTGTCGGACGCGTCGGTCGTGCGACCGTGCGACAGTGCGACCAACCCATACGTATGTAATATGAGACGGATGACAACACACGATGAGTTCAGGTGTGGAAGAGCCATGGTTGTACACGAATGGATAGGCTCTAGTGATATCACGGCTGTAAAGAAAACTGGTGTGAAACAACGCTTGCCACGGTATCAATGAACAACGCCAATTGCTTACTCTCAGGTGACCTGTCTGCTAGTTTGACACACTACTACTAAAAAAATGGTTCAACACATAGTAACGCCTAATTACAACTTCAATTAATCGTAAATACAAAAGCATAAAGTTGAAAATATATTTCTCTTTGTGATTTCAAACCTAACAAAATAAATTGGCCTAAGCCGCTTCTAATAATTGTAATGCTTCAAATAACAAAAAAAAATACCTAATATTTGTTGATGGAGCTACAGGCAAACCTGACTGTGAATAAATTTCGCAAATTGATTTGGCTTACTTCCAGAGGTAAAACATTGGGAAGGTTAAAATGTTCAATAGACAACATTAGCAAATTGAAGTTAGAATAACAAACAGACTATCTAAGAACATCTGTAGACCTATTTACTCGATACGATAAATAATTAATTCCGACTAAGAGCCACGGGCCGCGGCCCCCAACCCCTGACCCTCCGCCACAACTTTGTCGAATATTATTTGATGAAAAGCGTCAAACATTTCGAGCAACATTTCTATTACAACGCTCAACTCAAAAGGTTTTTACAGATATATAGATTATGATGAACGACCGACATCACTCAAACATTTAACTTTATAATTAAACAGACAGATGTAATGCTCAGATGCTTCGACTAATTGATTGAAAGGCTCAATAATATTGAATTGACGTTTTCTTAAAATAGTTACCTATGTAGCAATAAGCCACCCAATTAGCGGCCCAGTCTTAATAAATAATAAGACAGTACACTGGTAGCTGCTTATTTATGATGACGATTCGATATCTTTGCGGGTCGCAGTTCCAAACCATAGTCAATCTGGTAGCAACAGCTTTCAATTAATAACTAACAGCTGGAATGTAAAAACAGTCTGTCTATCATAGGGCTAGTCATTTAGACCTTTAGTCGGATAACTAATTAACGTTGGCACCAAAATTTAAATTTATTAATCAAACTTCTTTAAATAATTATTTTAAAAAACTTTACAACAACTCAGCTGCTTGTTGATTTCTATTTCTGCTTTCCTTGTTTTAATAATAAACTTGTAACACCCCCAATACCTTTTGTCTGATTAAATTTAATAACAGAATCGACATGTTACAATATTACCGAGTGTCAGTAAACCCGACAGCAGTGGAGTTCCAGACAAATTCAATCAATTTGTGCGAACGATCGCTTCAACATTCCCATCCCAACGCACTTTTCAAGCTCTTCTCAATAAAATATCATTATCATAATTTTATCTTTCACTTATTGAGGATGTTCCAGGCAAACATCTTGTTATTCAACAAAAAAAACAGTTCACACAATTTGGAAAGCAAAACCCAATGTTTGTCAAACTTTCCAAATAATTTATCCACTTAGCTGATTTCGAGGACAGTTTACTTTGTATGACAAAAGGCACAAGGTTTCTCAAAGTTTCGACAAACGTTCGAATTGACAAAATATTAAATATGCTTTTGACAAGCTTTTCAGATCTAGGACGACATTGAAAACAATATCGAGGTTTTAAACAGCTGGCAATATCAGTTTTTCAACTCCTGAAAAATAAACTGAGAATTCAAGTTATAAAGTACTTACACTGAGAGCCAGGAGATGAAGGCCAGCGTAAACAGCGAGAGCGACATGGCCATGGTCCTGAAGGGGAACAGCTGCACCTCGTTCTCAGCGTCCCAGCCAGGGTAGTGGATGAGGGCAGGCAGCCCCAGCAACTTCTCGCCACCAGACAGCCGCACCAGCATCGCCACTATGTACGCTGCCAGCGAGCCGTACGTGTTGCAGTACTTCTTGAAGTGAACCACCATCAACAGCTGCGGGAACAGGATCACGTACACCAGGTCCGAGCACATCGACCTGGGGGACAATAGCCTGGCTTACAAACTGATCTCTCAAAACTTACTTGCCTGTATTGGAGAGTTATTAGAATTAAATCAATATAATTTACTGTACAATAATTAAGCCGCATTCCCCGCAATCATATTTTAATAAACATGCATGTATGTATGAGGTTTTAGGATTTATCTCAAGAAATTACTAAATTTAACATAAACGATGAGGACTTAACAAAAACAAGGCAATCATTGAAATGTCATTAATATCCGCGACAGTTTAATGAGCCCGGATAGTTCCATGTATTCACTTAAAGCCTGCCACATGGATGTGCTCACGGTGGATGATTGCGCCATGTTCCTTTCCATCACATCCTCGTCCCTGGCAGGGTAATTAGAGCGTCGGCCCTGGCAACATCACGACCCGCGGATTGCGCATCTACACTTTATGATACCATCAAATGATGAATTGATGGCTCGCGCACCTCCAGCATATAAATTAATACCAACACTAATAGCCGTTCCAATATAAATCGTGCACTCGTATCTATTGGTGCACATTGTGCAATATGAAAATGTGCGAATATAGAGCAACCGCTCATGTTTGTAATTGATTATCATCAGCGCTCGCGCGGACGCACCGATTTAATTCGGCGCGCTACAGTTTAATTACTCCGATGTTATCATTTGAAACAAAGTAAAAATTATCAGATTAACAATTTCGATGTACCCGAACACAATGCGTAGATTTGCATTATTTAGATGTTGAAGCAATGCCATGGTTTCACAACAAGTCTATTTTAAAAACAAACAAGCTCGTTCTTCCCCCGCGGTACGGTTATATTAGCCGAGTTTAAATTTTCAATTCACCCCTCCACGCCCCCGGCGCGGGATGTGTTGGGGTTCCGTAGTGTACGGTTGGCGTCCAATTTCGATGCAGGTGTGAGACGGATTCAATCGACCGTGTGCGCCGGAACACGCCGGGTATACCTGCAGGGGGTAGCCGGGTGAACGGGGTGAACAGGGCTGTGATGTTAAGCTGATTGCATTTTTAATGGGCTCTTTTCAAACACAAGATTTTCAAAGGCGGTTGATGTTTTTCTCGTTTGTTTTGTGAACACGATTTTCTTTTGTAAAATGTATCTACGCTTCATTAGGTAAGCTCCAGACTAATGAGCGTGAAAATAAAATAACAAACTGCACAAAAATGGCATATGTAGGCAATGTGCTTGGGTAGCAGTGTTGACAACTTTACCCTGTGCTTTGTTTGCAATGTCGACGACCTCACCGCACCTTAGCGGTAACCCTAACATTACAAAACTGCTAACATCTCCCGCCCGAATTAACAATGATTATACACCCCTACACTCACGTGTACATACGTAGCGTGCCGGTGTTAGGGATTAAGTTTCAATTAGCAGGCAAGCGGCCGAGACTGCTCTCAGACATAATCCCTTGTAGAGTCTACATTGGCCTCCTATTTCAAACGTTTACTTAAGCTTGTTAGATCAAATCTCGAATGGAGAAAGGGTATTCCGATATATAACTAGTTAGATTGTGTTACCTTGTAATTTGACCGTATTTGTCTGCTGGAGGCTACGAATATGGAATACCTATGACGGTAAATATACTATACTTTGAATTGTTATACTTGAAAGAGGAGCTAATCTCAGAGAAGATTCAAAGATGTCAAAGATTTTCGAACTTTTATTATGATTATATTATTATTTTAGGTAAAAAAGTACTTCTCACATACCTATTATTTATAATGAACGATTGAGGAGGATGGTGGTAAACGTTTAACTTGCATCCATTAACCAATTAGCCAAAGTTTTGTCATTTCTAAACCTAGACTCGTACAGACATAATGTAGGTAATATAGAGTAATATAAACACTATGATGACCCTCGAAGGTCCCTTGCATCATGAGCCCAATATAATGAGTCGTCATCAGCGCCATTATTTCAATAACGCTCGATTACCATATATTTTCGGTATCGACATTAGAGCGCTCATCGGCCGATGTGTGTCAATGGCCGACGCGTAATGGCTCAGTGTAACACCGACGACGATCCGTCATTACTTCTCGATATGTATTTGCATATATCTCGAGATTTATTAGATATTCAACAGTTTATATAAATGCTATTATTATTGCAATATCTACTGCGTCCGAGGATCTTGAGATGATTCTACAGAACTGAAATTGTATGTTTGAAACTCGAAATTGAAACTCTAAAATGTTCAACAGTGGATACTTAAGCGTTTAAAAAAGCGTCTAGTTATCGTTCAAATAAATAAAATGAACTTCTATGTCAACCACGTATGGTTTTTTAAATCGTCGACGGGTAGTTTGTATTCCCTCCTTCGGAGTGGTAACTTTATGACATAATTATTAATCCAATTTACTTATACATATATGTTCCAATTTGAACCAGAACTGTTAGTTATGGCCCTAACAGGACAGTTGAGTCAGCATTTACAGTCAATAAGTAATATGATTGTAGCCGCAGTCGGCCGGGGTGCGAGCTGTGATTATTGATTTATCGCCACAGCCACGCCAGACACCTGTGTCTGGCACATAGCCCTATAGGTGTTTGTCTTCTACCTGTTTAGGTACTACATCAAAACCTTAACGTGTCACATGTTTTGGCTACGAAAAATAATCGAAGTAAACGAAATAGTAAGTAATATTTGTATTAAAAACAAAAGCAATGATTTCACAAGAATCCCATGGGAAACTAGGACTAGTCGACAGATTTAATAAACAATGTTATAGAGAAAAAAAAATCTAACAAATATTTTCATTTTATGTTATTGCTTATCGAACTTCGTGTGTTGTTTATACAAACGGGTAAATATTAGACTCATGAAGATATATAACACACGAACGTATAGACGAAATACTCATATATTATGTACAAGGTATATAGGTAAAAGCTACACGTCGAAGCCATCACATCATCATAAAATCGCATTTCAGCGATGAAACAAGGAAAATGGAAAGAGTTTTGATCTTATTACTAAAAGATTTCCCAGTAAATACGTCCACGGGTCTGTGAGGAAATTGTGAGGTTCCTTGATGTGTGGGTCACAAAGGAGGAGTGAGGAGAGAGGATCAAGTGGGGGGACAAGACGATGTCAAGTGACGACCTCCTCGAGTGGTGCGGGGTTAGGGCACGTATTGTGAAGGGGAGATTTAATAGTAATGACACAAATACATATATTCAACATCTATGAATACTACTTAATGTTATTACAATAAAAATTAAAATTTTCCAAAAAAAAATTATATACAATTAAAATTAAAAAAAAAAGCTTTTTCGCATTTCTATTTTTTAACTATTAGATTAGATTCAAATTATAACCCTGACCAAAATCTCAGAGCAATGTTATTTTACGGTGTATATTTTGTTAGAACAAAAATGTAGCGCCTGCTATAATAACGAGAGCACACTCGTCGCACTGCTACAAATTGCGATAAGATCTTTGCATATTATAAAGGTTTGAGCAGCGAAAACGAATTATGGAAAATGAACTTAACTTCAAGAAAAATACAATTACCTATTAAAGTGGAAAACTCATAACCGACCAACGCATTAACTATAATTCAACAAATTATTACTTACCCTCGCTCGCTCGTACTTGTTTGAATTTCATTTTATTGGATGGTGACATTTTAGTACTCAAAATATTGACCAGATGTCTCTAGTGATACATTACTGACAATTATTTTTTCGATCAAAGAGTGCCTTATTCTACTGGGAAAAGTTTTAGAGTGGACTCAACTTACCAGAGACCGTATATGGATGGGATGGTGAGCGCCATGAGCGTGGCCAGCGCGCCCACCACCAGGATGGAGACGCGCATCACCCATATGATCTCCATCTCCGACGCATTCTGACGGAAGATCAGCTTGTACACGTTCCTGGGGGAAAATGGACGTGTTCAAAAAGTTGTTCTTCCACACTTCAAATGGGTGAAAATTTAAATTTTCCATTTCTATTTGGTCTCTTCACCGTTTATTCTCAGTAAGCTAAGTCATAAGTGACGAAGCTATCTTATCATTCATCGTTTTACAACTGTCAATAAAATTACCATAAGTCCTATAATTTTTTGGCTATTTACCTACTTCTTTTGCTTGACAATCGTACTAAAGAGCACTCGACCAAATTTCGATCTTTCAAAAATGCTGACAATGTTTAAAGGACTAGAAGATAATGTAATGAAACACGTCGTCCACACGTTCGATCGATCCGAACTTCAGAGTCTACGGACGTAAAAAGCTACTCTACTCCGTGCGGGTCGTAAACGGTGAGAGCTCCCGGTAGTCACACTTTCCTTGTGAAACGTGCACAATCATAAAGTCTGTTAAAGTACTCTGAAGGGATATTAAAATGAAATTAACCATATTCTTAGTAATTAATTGTTTTCATTCATTAGGTATGCTTCTTGGCCTAACTAATTATAAGAACAATGCGAAATGCGTTTGTAATAAAGTCCATAATCCTAGTAAACAGGAAAACTCTAAATAGACACAAACATGCTCCGTCCAACTTAAGATTACTTGTATACTTTTATCAATATCCTGTAGCAACTATTGGCGAACCACAATCATCAGTAAAATATATGAATATTCCCTCTTACCTGGCAAACATGGAGCTGGCACTGAGTACACTGGAGTCTGCCGACGACATGACAGCTGCGGAGACAGCTCCCAACCCGAAGAAGGACACAAAGTCCGGCGTCAGATGCTGCAGCACCAGCGGCAGGATCATGGACGTCTGATCAGACGTCAGCTCGCCGTCAGCCGTCAACTCCCCGCGGTAGTCCGTCTCGTTCCATGCTAAGAGGGACATGGTCACATCAATGGTCTTCAATTACCTACTGGTACGAGTCTACTAGCATTTATCCATGGCTAGCACAATTATTGCGAATTAAATCTCGACCAAAAGAACTCTTAGTGTGCTCAACAAATTATTGGTTAGCTTAAAAAGGAACCTAAAATAATTTGTGTTTGAAATTCTCTAAGGTACCAAAAGGAAGCTCTTTTCCATGACCATAAATGTAATAACACTTACCAGTGCCCTTAGCGATAGCTCCAATAAGTACTGGGGGGATGGCCATGATGATGCAGCCAAAGGCGGCCACGTACGACAGGATCTGAGCCCGTCCTGCTGTCTTACTGCTCAGCACGCGTTGGAAGTATACCTAGGGAGAAGGAATACGATGCACTCAACCAGGCAATGGACAGTAATCATAAGCTCTGGAGTTTTATGCTCATTTGTTCTTGTTACTTTCATAGAAAACTACAATGGACTGATCCTGCTGACTACCTAAGATAATATATTCAACTACCTCGAAAAGCAAGCAGCTACAATAGATAATCCTGAACCAATTGAAGTGCTGACCTGCCAGGGAATCCCACCGAAGACCAGCAGCAGTCCGTAGTCGATGTAGAACCAGTAGTAGTTGGAATCCACCTTGCCGATCCAGTCCACCTCCATGGAGCTCAGCGGCTTCACGTGCTCGTTGGCCCACGCGAACGGTATGCACATCCACAAACCTGGTAGAAAAGTGCAAACGATAGAAGAAAAGAGAAAATTGGCAACTCCTGTTTTAGTTAGGTACTCTTCGTTAGCAAAGGAAGATGAAAAGATATCTCTTGGTCCGATACGAAATTGACATTTCAATTAGCCTTTGGTGATTTTTAAATGTCATCGCACGGCCAAATACTATGGCCAAATTTATGATTTGACCTTAATTCAAAATCGCTTCTTCATTTCGAGCGTTAATGCTAACGAGGGGTCAGTTTCACAAAGACTACCCACGTATCACTACTGAGGATTTGCAAAAATAGAATTAAGTTGATAACATTATTCCTAACTAAGGTACCAATCAATTCCGAGACTCCTCCTTTATCACAGTCGCTTTAACAACTACCTAATGAGATAGTTTAGTAGTAAGAAAAGTTTAATATTATAAACTAAAATCAAAAACCATTTTATCGATAAGTTAGTTACATTTCCATATTTTTCTCCATTCGTTTCAATCATAACAAATCATAAATAAAAAAACTCGGGTTGTTTACTTCGTGGTTTCAATAACTATCTAAATTTTTTATTTGCAATACCTATATAATTGTTAAAACACATTGAATACATATTACCTACCTACATATATTACAAATTATGAATCATCGAGTAGGTTAATGCGTGGCGTTCACCAAGAGATGGCACTTCACGTATAAGTTAAACACTGGAAAATTTACTCGATAACTCAGTAAAGTAGAATAACAACACTGAAAGACGAGAACCGCTGTTTCGAATTCCCGATCATGTCAATCGTTTCCTTATCTGATGGTAAGCAATCAGCGCTGCCCATGAACACCCGAAACAAAAGAGGAGCTACGAGTGCTTTCCGGCCTTTTAAGGATTAGGGTTTTAGAGATATAGAGGAAGGAGGATCGGAGTTACGGTAGCCTCATTGACACAGCGAAACACTAAGTTGTAATTATTTCACGCCGAATTTCTGGGCGTCCGTGGTATCACTGCATGGCTCTTTCATTTCATTTGACTTACCAATGAAGATGCAGAAGAGTTGTATGACGTCGGTGTATGCGACGGAGTAGAGGCCCCCGAACAGCGTGTAGAAGACGGCGACGCACGCGGAGAATATCACCGACGTGCGCTGGTCCATGTCAATGATCACTGCCAGCGTTGCACCTGCACGATACGTAATCACATCACCACTATATCACCAGTCACCAGCAGTTTAGTTTTGGTGTCAACGATGAGTCCAGATAATGCCCTCCACTAAGGGTGGTCTGACAACTGGCATGGAGGACGCCCTCCATATTTATTATGGGGGCTGGTATGTTTAAGTAACTATAATCCATTTGTTTTGCTCTGGAATCGAATTTATAGAACGTTGCGTGACCAACCCTCTGTACCAATCACATAGTTCAAAGCATAGTTTAATTAACTGCTAATTGCATGAATGTTGATAATGCCTAGACTAGATTAAAATACCTAATCTTTACGAAGTTTTTGAACAATTTCTTTATTTTTTTGACATCTTCGTTCTCAGAATATTTTTTTTTTTTTTTTTTTACTACACCTATACTTGAATCAATAGTAAGCTCCACTACAGCGCCACAAACACACACACACACACACACACACACACAGACTAGACTAGACTTCCCCAGAGTACTAGTAGCTATTTGAATAAAAGATTATTTAAGCTTAATTGTACAACAAAATTAACATAGAAACATATTTCTTTTACCCCGCAACCCCGTGTGTGCTGGTCTATTCGAGGGGGGTCCATCATGGTATGCGGCTGTCAGTCATTTGTTTCACCCACGGCATCGCAAGGATTATCTCCCGTTTTCCACCTCTTCTTTTTTATTCATGAGAATCTTTTCCTAACCTTAACCACATCATTAGGACAGTTATCGGAACCGATCTAGCTGCTCACGTGTGAGGCCATGGCTAAAGAAAATAAGGATTCATTTTTATTTATAATATAAGAAGATTACAGTTGAATATTTTTGTCTATCATTTGGCATTTCAAGCTAAGCGAGCGGGTTGGGTGGTATTATAAGTACCTAATAGACCATATATAAAGATATGTGGTGGTAATGACAGCATATGGAGACCAAGAGAAACTGGAAAGCTGATTATTTCAGTCTAGCTTCTGCCAGAGCTAATGCCCGAGTGACAAGGATGAACTACGATGATTATTCTAGACTATAATCAACATCACAAATTCAGCCATTCAGTAGTTTTCACGCGAAAGAGTAACAAACATCATCCAGTCATGCTTACAAGCTTTTACGTTTTTAATACTAGTACCCATGCGAGAAAAGGTGAAAACTCTGCAAATTTTTGGTTGAATCCAAGTCACGTAGGAAAATACGATTAAGTTTCAATTGCATTTCTAAAATCATTTATTCCAATAACCCTTCATAACTAATTACTAATTTATAACCCTTCTTCCCTCCCTTCTGTTCCTTCTCCAGCTTTAAGCCAAGGTCGCGGTAAAATCCTATCAATTTGGATTTAAGTTTAATTCGTAATAGAAACAACGGTAAGGTACACTACACTACTGTTAACCATTAAAAAAACAAACTTGTATTTGATGTATTGAACAAGTACCTACGCACTTATAAAAGGTAAATAATATAATTCCACAACTAGGCATGATGACGAACCCACTTGTTGATGATGACGATAATGATAATCAGTGAAGTGAATCTGTTACCTCGTTGGGTTTTCCTATCGATACCTAGTTTTAGTAATAACATCTTCAGTTCCACGTAAAAGGGTCGCAATTGATTAAAACGCATGTGTTGTATAGGTACCTAATGGTATCGGCAATGCACCAGGCAAAGGATGAAGCTGAAGCTGAAGTAGCAGTCAGTCGGTCAAATATATATAGGTATATATATATATATATAATAATATATATATATTATTTAAGTAAGGTTATCGCGGAAAAGTAAATTATCCACATATTCGGTTATATTAGTTCGAACCTATTCAAACTCAATAGGTACCTACCTACTTTCTCCGAAATAGGTACTATTAAAAATAAACTTAATTAAAAATAATCTTTGACTTTCGTATGAAATAGCACGTTGTGTCGTCATAATTGTATTACGTTAAATACCATACATATTTGTCGTGAATTATCTAAAAAACTAACTTAAATACATATATTGTACAATTAATGAACCAATGCATGAATATAGTTACAATATTTTTTATGATACTTTTAAGAAGTTGAAAAAATCCTATTTTACCAAGAAAAGTACTATTTTTCCGATCCTATGGCACGTAATAACATACTTGATAGGTACATTTTGTCTACAATCAAAATACCTAATCCAATTGATACCAATTAATGTAATTATACTTCTGTGAAATAATAGTAACCAACGCTAAGCGTTACACAGAAGCGCCGCGTGCGGGGACCTGATAATGGTGTACCTACGGCCAGCGCGCGGCGCCCTACAAACCCACTTCACGCACCCCTGACCTTTCTCTACTTGTTCCCATAAACATTGTTATGTCACTAATATTATCAACAATACATATAATATTATTATTACTTATTTATTAAGGTAAAGCTTTACTGTATTGGAAAGAAAATATAATGACAAAAAAATATAATCATTAGTAAACTTTTTTTTGATATTTACTGAATTTCTTCACGTCTAATAAATAATATTTCTCATATACATATATAATAAACATTGCATATATATGACAATCAGAGTAATATAACGCGTGTCACAATTTGTGCCGTCTTTTAAAAAAAATTGTTCAATGGAGAGGAAGGTACACCCTGTGTTCCCCGCCCCGGTATTGATCCGGCGCCGAGCTGACGTGACTTCGGTGCCAGCCCTAGCCGGCTACAGTGCCAGCTCACGCGACACCACTTACAGAACGCTATTTTTAAATGAACCGTAACATTGTGTCAACTGTCATCCCTTTTATTCATCGGAGGGTGAAAACGTGCGCATATTAAATTAATATAGCACCTACTTTATCTGTTATATATTTTTTTTTGTTGGAGTAAAATCATCGTATTACTTTTCAGACCCCGGGTGTGGCAAGAGGGACTACCAGACTCTTACTGGCTAAAAATCATCCTGTCTCTTCGCGATATATTATTACGCTTGAACCGGCAATCGCGACTGAATATTGGCCCTATAGGGCTATTTGTCGTGGTCTAAAGGCCATTAAAGGCGCGCGCGGGACGCTACGCGCCGTATCGGGTCTGGTTCTGGTCGACGAGCTACCTTTACTCGCCGTCCGCAGAACCGCGCTTATGGGTGGTCAGAGATCGTCGCACAATTGACGAAGCCCTGAACGTCTATTTGTTATGTGAATAGTCTGAGTTATAAATTATAATGTAACCGTTTATTTTCCCTCATAAATAAAATCAAACATCTAAAATTGTGTAAATGTCGTGTAAATCGGCGCGGCCGCACCCCGAAGTAGATGGGCCGTTAACAATGAACTAGTTAAGTAAATAACAAGCTAAGTGAGCTCACTAAGCTGTAACTCGATTACTTTGTATCTCAGCTTCAACTGAGCTCCGATTACTAAGCCGCTAAACTAACTGCCGGCCGATTATCTCGCTTCTTTTATCTTCTATCTTTCTCGTGTCAATTGGGTAGCTTGCTAATTCAAAAATAAATTAATTCGACGTTTCAATACAATGAAATATTGAAAAAAAACTATACTTTTATTCATTGATCAATCAATACACTAAGTTTTAGATACTTTTTAGATAATTATTAAGAAATAAGTAAGCTATTTGACTCAAAAATACTATGACATCATAACTCAGTGTTTCATACATAGAAAAGTATCGTTCATGACATTTAGATTAAAGTATTGAATTTGACTAGTTGGAAACTACCGTATTACCTAGTACTCCTAGTAGATATATGATTACGAAACCTTATATTATTTTAGCTTACAATAATGGCTTAGTACTTCATTAATTATTTCCTTGATTGGATAAGGTGGTTAATGGATAAACTGTTGATAACCAATCACTCAAGGTAACTCGCGCCACTTAAAGAGTTTCAGGGTCAATGCCCCAACTTTATTATATTAGCTTATGCCACATAACAAGCTAACCATTTTGTTTCATACGGTTCATCATGGTAGGCAATCGGCGTCGCTCGCATTATCTGAGGAGTAGCAAAGCGTTGACAACCTTTTGTTTTTTTAAGCATTTGAGGAATCGCAATTAAGTTTCATTCATATTTTTAACAAAACAAAGTTTTATTTGTGTTGTTTATATAAAGCAACGAACGAATGAAACACGTTACATTAAGTTGATTACATTAACAAATTGTTTTAACGTGAACCAACTCCATTACGTACAGGGTGTTGACACAACACGTGTAGTTTATGCAGGGTGTACATAATTAGAGCAGAGGAGCGCGGGAAGTGTCCGCGTGTGTTGTCTTGTTATGACATGTCATTATTGATTCTACTTGCGACCTTCGAGCTGGATGCTAAATGACCATTAATTTACTTGCTGGGCTCACGGTATAAACATTGAGTATTTAATCTTTAAGATCTGTTGGAAAAAATAAGTTAAAATTTGTCATTTCCCTCCAAGCTCACAAGACATAGCCGCGATGGCACGATCCATTGGAAACGAAAGGTGTATTTTTCGATATAAAAATCATATTGGCCCACTCCGACCTTATTAACTACTAATAATACCGCAGTTTTTAATTTTCTACCATCAGCCTATAAGTGCCCTCGGCAAAGGCCTCTTCTCACACGGAGAAGGATTGAGGATTGAGCATTAATCACTACGCTTGCTCATGGCGGATTGGTGATTTCAAACTTCTAATTAGGAATTTCATCACTATGCTCTACTTCACCGTTTGTCAAAAGTGTCTATATACAGTTAGAAAGTATAAATAGGACTTAGAAAATCACATTAGTTTTTGCCAGGTTATGAACCCAGTAACTGTTCAGCTTATTCAGATACAAACTCAAACCTCTCTTTTCCTTCAGCCCATAAACATGTTTTCAAGGCGTATACATTATCCCTGAAAAGATTTCAGCCTATGCAAAACTACAGCCTTACAAACTAGCTACTTGACGCTATCTAGTCTAGTTTATCAAAAGACGCATTCTCTTCTCTCTACCCTCAACAAGTGAAAAACTGCACTTTTAATTGGCTAGCAACTTGTACTGGGGAATTTCGCTCACAACATCTCTTGCGACAGTCTCCGCTTCAGGCAACATGGCGTGACGAGAAAATGTTTTGTCCTGACGAACGCGTTAAAAGATATGTAAGAAAACAAATAAACGTGTAGTTCAAAGGGTTTTTTGTGCTACAACTTGTAGTGTAGTCGCTGCAGTTTGACAATACTGTTACAAAATGGTGTCAGTATCTCACTAGTCGTATACATATATGTAGGTATGTATATCTGCCAATAAACAAAAGATTTTCAGTTACCTTTGACGCCTACGCCTGCCTTTAGAGTTCAAAGTGAGGGTGCATTTTTAAATCTGCTGCCGTATTTGTTTGTATTTGCCAGACTTCGTGGCAAGGTAAATAATGAGACTGTAGATGGTTAAGGTCTGTTTATTACTTTAATTGCTGGTGCTTATATACTAAGAAGATGCGTGAGATTTTCAGATTTAGCTATCCTAACAAACGTGCAACAATTAACATGTATGTCTTATCTCTATCGTATCTAAGTAATGTAGCGACGTGATAGTGCCGCTACATATACTCCCCCCTTTTAAAAATAATTAACATATAAATTGAAAAAAATTAGTATGTACCTAATTATATAATAACTTAACCTTGCTGATAAATTACATCCTATGCGTAATGTAATGTCATTGTTGCTAATTCGAAGGAAATAAAAACTGCTGCCTTTGTTGTGACGGCGGCGGCAGTCGATGAACTATCCACTGCATTTGTGCTGATTGTTTCTTGCTATTGTTTTCACTCTTCTGTCTAAGGTCTTCAGTATTCCGTAGAGAAGAAGGATGCCAATTGTGATGAGGATTTGTCCAATTGCAATGTTTCTCGTCCACCGTAGCTCTTCCAGGACAAGACTTTTGAGATGGTCGGCTTCATTTTGATTAAGGCAACTGTCGGAGTTATATACGATTTGATCTTTGGAGCTTTGGTTGCCCATTGTTCTCTCGTAGATACTGACGGTATATGATGGTATTTTCAAAATACGGTGAGTATTTAAATGGACTGATTACTTGTGTCAGCAAGTGACGAATCGTACTGTCGGCTTAACCGCCCGTCCTGACTTCGTGATGTACGTGTTCCGCCCGTTGTGATTATTTTCTGAATTTGGCACGTTCGTTCCACTATTGAAGACAAATGCAGGTTTTAATCGGTCTATAGATATTGCTTTTTCATTGTCCCCAATTTTAATGATAAACGTCTTATCTATCCTCTTTGTCACTAGAAATGGTCCTTCGTATGGTGGTGTTAAACTTTTCCTTATTCTGTCACAGCGCACGAATACATGTGAGCATTTGTTGAGCTCGGGGTGAATGAAAACTGTTTGTTTAATTTTCTTGCATTTATCAAAAGCTTTTTCGGCCTCTGTTGTCCAAGAAATTGGAGAATTATCATTCTTTTTAGAGTCGTGCAGGTAGTTGTTTAAGATAGTTTGATATTCAGCGGCATGAGGGAGATTGTTTCTGTAAAAGTTGATCATTCCTAAAAATCTTCTTAGCTCCTTGATTGTCGTAGGTTTAGGAAATTCCATAATTGCTTTGTACTTTTCCTCCGTTGGTCGTATTCCTCGACGTGTTGTATGATAACCCAGAAAATCTATTTCACTCTTAAGAAAGTCACATTTTTCGAGATTAATTGTTAATCCATTTTCATGTAAACGTTTGAAAACCGTATCCAAATGTTGATAATGTAGAGCCTCGTTTTCAGATGCTATAAGACAATCGTCGACGAATATGAATACGAAATCCAAATCCCTGAATAGCGAGTCCATGAATCGTTGGAATGTTTGCGCCGCATTACGTAAACCGAAAGGCATTTTTGGAAATTCGAAAAGTCCAAAAGGAGTGATAATAGCAGTTTTTTCCACATTTTCTACAGGAATGCAGTGGTACGCCTTTCGAATATCAATTTTGGAAAAGATTTGCTTCCCTTCTAGTATGTAAGTGAAATCAGTTAGTCGTGGAAGTGGATATTTGTCCGGTACAGTCACGCTATTGAGCATTCTATAATCTCCACATGGTCTCCATTCACCGTTCTTTTTCTTAACCATGTGCAAAGGACTAGCCCATGGGCTGTCCGAAGGGCGACAAATGCCAAGCTCCATCATAGTCTGAAATTCTTTCTTTGCTATATGATATTTATCAGGAGGTAATGGTCTTGCACGTGCTGATACCGGTGGTCCTTTAGTGATAATATGATGCTTAATCTTGTGTTTTGGAGTAGTGTGGAAGGAGGCTGGTTTCGTAATATCCTCGTATTCATTTAATAGTTGAGTAATGCGTGGATTCGTCTCAATGTTAATAGTGCGGATTGTTTGCTGCGTCGATTTGATCAGGGTTGCGGGCGTTGTCAGCTCAGTTACCCTATCTATGAGTTTTCGACCAGCTATATCGACTAATAGCTTATAATGCTCTAAAAAATCTGCTCCAATAATCGGTTGTGTTACATCGGCGATGACAAAGTTCCATACAAAGTTTCTTCGTAGCCCGAAGTTTAAAGAGAGTGTTTTTTCACCATATGTCTTAATTTTTGTACCATTGGCGGCATAAAGTATACATTGTTCATCTTGTATTAGTGAATGTCTCTGTGGCTTGCTAATAACTGAAATATTTGCTCCCGTGTCAATCAAAAATCTCATACCACTTTTTCGGTCGGTAATAGTGAGGCGGTTGGACGGGTGAATAGCACAGAGTTCCGCCGTTGTCCGTGCTTCAATTAGTTTCCCTGTTTCCTTGAGTTGAGATCCTGTTTCCAATCACAAGGTTGAACACACTTTTGTGCATATTTTTTAAATCTTCCATGGTAAAAACAAAAGTGCCTTCTTTCTCTTGAACTCGACTGTGGTAGGAAATGCCGACGATTGGAATAACTTTGAGTGCTGCGTCGATAGTTTTTTTGACCTTGCTGGATTGCATTTAGTTCCAATTGCATTTCTGCTAACTGTGCTAGTATGCATGACATTGTATCGTCGCCAGATTTGTTTCCGTTTACAGCTGACACCTCTGTACGTGTTGAATTTATTAATATCTTGTCCGCGATCTGGCTCATCTTGTTCACATCTATGTCTTCTGTGACTGCTAGAACCGAAGTCACTGATGGTGGCAGAAGCCTCAACCATAGAAGTTTGATGGTTTCGTCGCTGATATTTCCGTTACTCAGGGTCCGCATCTTGCGCAGAAGATGTGATGGTTTCTGGTCGCCGAGATCCATTTCAGACAATAATTTTTGGAGCTGACGTTGGTCTGATTCCTCATAGCAACTGATTAGGCGTTCTTTGATAGCCTTGTACTTTTCTATTGGCGGTGGGCAAGTAATGAGGTCACTAACCTGTATTATTTCTTCTTTTGGCAGTTTTGCAATGACCGTATAGTACTTGTAATCGTCTCCTTGCTTCTGTGGTGCTACTATGGCTTCTAGTTGCTTAAACCATAATCTGGGTTGGTCCCTCCAAAATTCCGGAATACGGGATAAAATGGCGGTTCCGGCTGATATCTCCAAGGCTTCTTGTTGGCTGCTGCTTGATTTGCAGGGTGAATGAGTCATGTTGATTGTTCTTCGTCGGGGTCACCAATTTGCCAGACTTCGTGGCAAGGTAAATAATGAGACTGTAGATGGTTAAGGTCTGTTTATTACTTTAATTGCTGGTGCTTATATACTAAGAAGATGCGTGAGATTTTCAGATTTAGCTATCCTAACAAACGTGCAACAATTAACATGTATGTCTTATCTCTATCGTATCTAAGTAATGTAGCGACGTGATAGTGCCGCTACATGTACATATGTACGTACGGTGTAAACTGTTAGTACTTAATTGATTGAAAATAACGAATTATTAACCTGAATCAAGTGAGAAAAGATCTACAAATTCCAAGTCAATCGTCGCTTATAAACAAGCATCCTGTTGTGACTTTAAACTTGTAGGTAGTAGGTTCAGTTGATTAACGTGAGCGTAATTTATGTAATTCATTATTATCAATAAGTTTACTATTTAGTGTCACACGATAGTTAGATAGTTAACAAAAAAGTAAGTACTTAACTTATAATTAATAATATTGCTACACTGTTTTTATTTACTATCAATGTACGCACAATTTTAATGATCGCAATAAACGACACGAGGAACTACAGACCTAGTTTTAAAGCAGCTACCAGTTTATTAGAAAAACTGATTAGAGGTTGTAAAGATAATGTTTTTACGAAAAATATTTATAGAACTATAAATCTAATTTAACATCGATTTTGTAGATACACTACTAGTCTTTGGCACAAGCCATGGCCAAAACTTTAATGGTGGAAATAAGTTCGTTGATTGAGTGCGTTAACATTATTTTTTTCTCTATACCAGCGACACTCACTGTGACAGATGAAGGGTTCCTCCACGAACTGTTCGTACTCTGATCCTTACATCTATTTCTGTCGACCCTTTTTACATCGCGGATAAGGAATATTTACTGGCACCTTGACATATTTGGTAAAACTAACTAGACTAAGAATTTATTTTTTATTCAAGTACCTACCAGTTTCGCATGGGTGCAATATTGATACTAAATTTCTCCACTACTTAATGGATGTTTTTATACATATCTGTAAACATTCCTCTTTATTCACTCTATCTATTAAAAGAAGGTATCAAAATCTGTTTCATAGTCGTGAAGGCTTAATACATGAAGGAATAATTCAAGATTTAAGTATGTTACATACATATTGATGGATATATAGGTATAAACAGAGAAAGCGATTTTGTTTTATACTACACTAGCTACTCTCGCGCGGTTTCACCCGCTGCTCGGCTCCATTTAATAGTAGCGTGATGTTTTATAGCCTATAGCACTCAGGAACATTGTAGCTATCTATCAGTGACAGAATTTTGGCAATCCGACCAGCGGTTCCGAATATTACATACAAACTTAGAAATTTTACCTCTTTATAATATTAGTACAGATATGTAGTGATTACGATAGCTTTCCAACTCAGAATCTGTAGGGATGCTCTTTCACTTAGAAATCATATAATCTTCTTTGTACAACCCATGTCCTAACAATGACGATTACGATATTAAAATGAGTTGATTTAATGTCGTTCGGGAGCTATGTGCGTGTATTAAACACTCATTACATTTAAAAATACATCCTGGCTTGCGAGACCCTGCTGCTTTTGGAATATAATGTTAAAGCATTATTCTGACAATGAGATATTAACAGCAATAAAGAACAGAGACGTTATCTCAAAACACATCGGATGACAAACAAGCGCCTTATCGGAATGTAACCCTGCGTCCTTCGGTGTTTCCGATCAATAGAAAACCGAGGGCCTGCTCCAATGTCGGAGTATACCGGGGCATCTAAATAGCATTTATATCTATGTAAGTATGTCAATCCGCCTTTATAATAAACGATATTAAAATTTCCATGACAAATAAAGCATTAAATATGAATGTACCCTCAACCTGTCTACAATATTCAGATCATTATTATTACATGAATAATTCCGTAATAGAAACACGTAAATAATTTGCATAGGGACCTCCCTTCCTCCCTCTTTCCCTCGAACTATGTACCTATGTTCCTCCCCGTATCCTGAATATGTGACAAGCCAAACTATGTAAGTATATGAGTACTGCAACATTATTAATATAATGCCGGGATCTACTATCTGCTCGCAATTTGTAGATAAAATACTCCCACAATATTATCTTACATGATCGGATAATTATCTGCTATGATGAACTACATGTAAACACATACACCTACATTACTATAACATAGTATAGCTACGAATTCTCCGGTTTCCGAGTGTATAGGCAAATAATTATGATGCTCCTCGTCAAACATAGGCTGAATAAAAATGTTACTAGCTTAAGTGTGAGAGCCGTACTTTTTAACACAAATGGGTCGGCTGAAACTGAGGATTACCTGGTGTTAAGCAATCGACGTCGCCCATGAACATGCAACAGCAAAGGAGTTCACCATAGACGAGGCCCTATAGGGCTGATGTTCAGCCGGGGTTGCGGGGTAAGCGCAATGAGGCATCACGACCTCGGCCCAGAGCAGGAGAAGGAACTGGGGGTTTTTAGTCAGTGAGAGTCGGACACACCCTCCCGTCATTGATTGAAGTCAGATTGAAGTCATTTGATGATTATCCACTCACAAAAAAAATCAGCCAAGGAGTTACCTACCACTGCGTAACCAGCCTTTTGGTTTCGATTAGGGTTTCGGAGATTTGGGGATTGTGGAAGGATTTTCTTTGTCAGGGAAAAATCATCAAATCACTTCTCCCGCCCAGGGTAAGGCGAAAGAGAGTAAGACTGTTACGGGCTAAAAACCTCCCCGTTCCTTCTCCTGCTTTAGGCTGAGGACGCGATGATTTATTGTGCTTACCCCCCAACCTCGGCTGAATTGTGGAGGGATAGAATAGTACGTAACGTTGCCACAGTCCACGGTACAATACATTATTGTAGTTCTTAAGTTATTAAACTTACAATTACAGAAAACAATTCAAAGAAAAAACGGCATTTTCATTGGTAAACAAGTATTCCAACGAGTATATTTCTATGAAGGCTAGTAAGTAACTGGAAATGATTCAGTATGGGTAGTATGGCAAGTATTCGTCAAGTAATGAAGGTGCGCTAGCTCGGTAGGTACGTGAGTATGACGCACGCAAAGCTTCGATTATTCAGGCGCAGACTGTTTTCTGTCTAGACTCGAGACGATATTGTATACATATTTATGTGATTGGACGGCAAATGAGCAGACGGATTACCTGATGGTAAGCAATCAGTGCCGCTCATGAACAACGGAGATAAGGCGTGCGTTGCCAACCTTTTGGGGATCAGAGGTTTGGAGATTTTGAGATTGGGGAGGGGTTTGGAGGAATGGAACGATTGAGCCTCAGGTCACCTCACTCACACATCATCATCATCATCAGCCTATAAGTGCCCTAAGTGCTGAGCTAAGGCCACTTAATCACCACACTTGCTCAATGCGGGTTGGTAATTTCAACCTTATAATTAGAAATTATAAGTCCAGGTTTCCTCACGATGTTTACCTTCACTGTATGTTAGTGGTGTCTAAATAATCATAGAAAGTACATATAACTCGGAAAAAGTCACATTGGTACTTGCCAGGTTTTGAACCCACACCTTCACGCATGAGAAGCGGGCTTCTTAACCTCCGGGCCACCACCACCATACCATACCATACCTCACTCACACGGCGATACACAATGCTGTGGTTATATCACTCCGGTTTTCGATGAGGTCTTGGTAACCGAGCCGACCCATTCGTGCCGAAGCATGGCTCTTCATAACTTAATAGTTTTCCTATTTATCATATTCCTGGTAAATTTCACCTAATATTTTGATTCCGAAGGTTGGACCAAATGCCAATTCTTGTCGGATTTTTTTTTTCAAAATATAATTGACGTAGCTACTTCAGTTCTAAATCGTAACGTTTCTTTAAAAGAAAAGAAAAAGAAAGAAGAAAATCTTACATAATACCTATCTTTACTAAACATTCCCATAATATCTATCTATCATGGCAATATTTTCTTTACAAAACGTAACTAAAGATTCCATTTCTTATATGTCGGGTAGATAAAGAATGTATACGTATGTAATACGTAGGCATAAATACATAACTCATTAAAGTAATAACTATAATATCCTACTCCCAACTAATGGACTTGTTTCTGACGCGAAGTGACAACTACGAGTATTATATGTAGGGTTGCCATACGCGAGAAATTTTCCGAACATACGGTATTCTTGGTGATTGATAAATAAATGAAGCAGACGCTACTTCACGAACCAATGCAGGCGGAAAGGTGTTTCTTCTGTTGCGCTTTAAAATTATATTAGAATATTTTTATTTTTATGTAAATTTCGGAAAAAATAGCCATGGGGTTTCTTGCTCGTTCTTCTCCATTCGAATCTACAATTTGGAACGAGCACCTAGCTTCACTGACGAACAGACTAACAGACTACTTTTCTATTTTGACGTTTCAAAAGTACCTATTTATAGTTTAGTTGGAATAAATGGTTTTGACTTTGACTTTGAGTTTGAAGTAAGTAAATATTTAGAATATGGGCATCCTATTCGTACCTATATTAAATGCTAAAATGAACAAATAGATTTTATTACGTTTGCTATGTTATGCTTGTTGTATCAATTTGTGGTCAAAATAATAATAACGTACGGCTTAATTGTATTGTATTATTTGACAGGTATACCATAACTCTATGTATATTTATAATCAATAATATAAATCTATAATCACCCATAAATGTATAACTGCTCTCAAAGTTTTACAATAACACTACAGAATAAACCTAAAACTGTTGGAAGGTTCTCTTACTTAACTTCTTGTGGCTAAACTTCCAAAACAGATTGTTACAGATAGTCAATGTTATAGTCCAGACTTGTTTAAGAGCGTTTATGCGAAACCGTTACGTTCATACAAATTTTGAATTATTAAAACTACAGAGGATATTTCAAACCAAAATATCGTCAAGTTACACATACTCGTATATGGACGTTAAAAACAATTTTTCAGTGCCCCTATTATATTTCTCAAGTGTAGAGTCAAAGTGGAGAGTAGTACAATACGAATAGTACACTTTGAAAATATATGTATAATTATGTAACGTGAACATGAAACGGATTTAATGAATGAATACATAAGTGGAAGGGATGGCCCGAAAATTAAAGCAATAACGTAAAAAATGATATTCTTGTGATTCTACCCGCTTTGAAAACGAAAATGTAACCATACAACTTATTAAAAGATATATCAAAAATACTATACGGTAATTGATTGGTTTTCAACAAGTCCCACGTTGGGCGCCACTAATTTCATTTCCTAATGAAACAAGTACAAGTGTTACTTGTGAATAGATATTAGATGATTTTTTTCAAACTCGTAATGACTACACAATCGCCTGTCATTATTCAAAACTTAGAATCGTTAAGTTATTGTTTTCAAATTGCTTGATAAAAATGAATATGAGCTTTTAGTATAATTAACTAAAATTCGCGGGTTACTCACGTGTATATATTGAGAAAAGCTCTTCTAGTTTCGAACCACAGAGGGGCTCTTCCTCATGAGCAGCGTGCGCGGACGCGGCGACGTCGCGCAGCCTAGTCTGTGGTTCGAAACTAGTAGAGCTTTTCTCAACATTTACACGTGAGTAACCCGCGAATTTTAGTTAATTTAGTATGTCTCACGATAGTTTTAGTATAATTATTCGAATTTCAAACATTTATTGTACTATAACATATATTAATAATAATATCATACTGAGGCTTGTTTCACAGTCTATATACCTATATATAGTCACTATATACCAGATAAATAACATGGAACGTAATTGGCATTCAGTATGCAGGTATGACATATTTATCGGGAACATGTATAACTTAATAACTTATTGTAAAACATCACCTACCACATAAATGTTCGGTGTGCCTATAAACTACAATCCGTTAAATTAACTCTTTGTCACAAGTAACCAAGTAGGAACATACAACAACACATAACATTTGTTAGAACACAAGTAGTTACCATGGACTGTTGCCGCACATATTGATCCAAACATCTCTTCAATTTTTTTTTTTATTTGCTATAAACTAGTGCTTGACTGCGATCGCACCTGATGGTAAGCAGTGATGCAATCGTTGATGGTAAGGCGCACTAGTTTATTAAGAGCCTATTCACTCTAGCCTTGAAGACACCTAAATTATATTCGGACGGAAAGACTGCAGCCGGCAAACTGTTCCAATCCCTCGATGTACGCGGTATAAATGACGAGGCAAAACGCTTAGTCACGCAGGTGTCTCAACAACGTAAGGGTGGATATTCACCGTACGCCGGGATGTCCGAAAGTGAAACAATATACTATAGATGACTATAGTGTATTGTTACTATAACAACAATGAACTATAGATTCATCCAAAAATTATCAAAGAGTTTTCGTCGATAAAGTTCAAGTATACCTAGGTACGTACTATAGCACTAGATGCCCTGAATGTCAAAGGTTGAGCTGACGGTGCGCGTGGGACGTGGACTGACAAATGAAGATAGTAAAACGCCCACGCTACCTACAGAATGTCGCATTACTTTCGTAGAACAAAAACAGAATACAAAGTAATACAAATGGCCGTACGAATCATACTATTTATCTAGACGGCATACGTTCAGCTCCATATATTAATCTTATAAGTCCCTCTTCTAGTATTGTCTTGATAAATGGAGATATTCGCTCGTACTTCACCTTTAGCATCTTTATCGCTTTACAAAGCGCACCTAGCTTCACTAACAGACTGATGGAATACTATTCTATTTTAACGTTTGAAAAGTACATGTATGCGGTTGTGAGTAAATGTTTTTGACTTAGACTTTGATTAAAGATTGCATAAAACACATATTACACGCACACTATGCGTTGCATGGATTTGGACCAAAACCTTTCTCAAGAATCACTCAATTTGTCAATAAAAACTGAATGTAAATCAATATGTTTATTTTAGATTAAACAGACAGAACTAAAGATACTTATGTCGTCTTTTATACCTTAAAATCAATCACTTAGCAGGAGTATATCAAAGTTTACTCTTTATAAGACTTACCCAGAGCTGCAAGTATGCCGGCTGCCCAGAAGACCTCCCCGCAGAGCGCGGGCAGGAACAGCAGCCCCCCCATGCGGCTGCCGAAGGAGTCCTGCAGCGGGTCCAGCATGGTCACGTAGCCCTGCTTGCGCATCGGGTTCGCGAAGAATATACCGCCTGCAGACCACACAACATGTTATTTAATGTCTGGACACCGGCACAGTAACCTCAATGTATTCCTAAAAGATTAGTTTAAGTACCTACACTTAATAATGTAACTCATTAGCTTTTCATAGACCCACAGAAACCATTCCGCTAACTAAAGATCGTTTACAACAAAACAATGTTTGCAATACAGTATACATTTCGTAGCCAAATAGTTGAATTAGACATTTAACTAACTGGCTAGTTGAAAATCAAACGATCATTTTTAATGAACGTTTATTAAATGGCTTAATTTCTCATTCAGGCTGTGTCACGAAAATAGAGTTGGTGCCAGAATCGTGGTCGATTAGGTTAGGTTAGAAGTGTGAATCGCACCGAAATGCCATCGCAAATAAACAGCTACACACATTGTATTGCGAATAAAAGGGTAGCTGAGTGATGAAACGACTTTTGTAATAAGTTGGCTCCAAGCTCCAATACATAATATACACACAAACAAGTCGAGATCAAGTATGATTCGACTTGAATGGGCCGGCTCAACTGGAGTGATACCAGGATCTTAAGTAAACTGCGTGAAACAACGCTTACTTTGTGTTTCGCCTTAGTATGAGAATGTGCTTCCTTGATGTTCAACTCTTTTCTTCAACGTATCCTTAAATACCCGACAACCCACAATAGGCTAACAACATAATTGTAACTGTAATAGTATTGCGAGTGTATATAAACGGCACCGATTGATTACCATCAGGAGATTAACCGAAGTAAGAGCATGAGTGAGTTGTGAGCTTACCGAAGACAAGTGACAGCGCGTACCCGAAGGGCGCCTGGCACCACACCAGCCCCGACGTGTATATAGCCTCCGCCGTGCCGTTGATGTAGCCGCCCCCCACCCACGTAGCTGCAACAAACATACAGGATGAATGCACTACACCACTATATCTTATCAAACTATACCTTAATCTATGCTTAGTCAGCTGGGGTTGCGGGGTACGCGCAATGAGGCACCGCGGCCTCGGCTTAGAGCAGGAGAAGGAACAGGGGGGTTTTTAGTCAGTAAAAGTCTGACACTCCCTTCCGCCCGCTCACGGGAGAAGTCATTTGATGACTTTCCTCAGACAAAAGAAAAAACCTATACCTAGTAAACTTATACAACCTAAGGAGAACACACCAGGTTTCACATTCATCACCGATAAACAACATAGCTACTTAAGCTAGGGAGAGCCATGCTTTGTTACGAATGGGTCAGCTCGACCGTAGTGATACCACGGCCTCACAGAAAACCGGCGTTAAATATTGCTAGCGTTGTGTGAGTAAGGCTTAATCCTTTCCTCCGTTTTCCCAATCCCAAATTTTCTTATCCTCAAAAGCTTAACATTCTTAAAAGAACGACAAGGCACTTGTAACTCCTCGGGTGTTGTGGGCAGCGCCATTTGCTTACCGTCAGATGCAGCGAACAAGTTTGCCTCCCCAAATAAGAAATAAAGTATGTTTGATCTATTTGGAATGTACAGTGTTCTTAAGCATCATTTAAAAAATCATCAAACACGTTGATCTACAATAAATCTTAATGTTACAGTTTAGAACTGAATTCTATACTACTCGGTTGTTCCGCATCGCAAGTCTACTAAAACGTGACACCACATAAGTAGGTGGGTACACTCATCGGAGAATCCAAACTATAGCTCCTATCTAAACAGCTTGCGATAAAGCAATTAGTCTCCGACGAGCCACTCGGAAACTTGAATATTTACGGAAAATACAAAACACTTGCGTTTGACGCCATCACAATTAGAAAACAACCTAATTTGCATGACAACCGAAACTCTACTCTATTAAATTACATTAAAGGTTATTTTATTGTACCTCTCTTAAATTTGGAAATTTCACCACTTACCTACAGGAAACGTCAAACGACATACAATATAAAAGGACAGCTACAATCTAAATGGAACTCTATAGTTTTTTGTGCGAAGGTATCTTTTAGAAAATCAATGTAATTGCTCACATTATTTGAAGTGCCTACTTAAGACAAGTGTGGACAATACGAAATGATGAAATAATTGAAGTGAATCCAATGAATGAGTAGAGTTTGCAAAATTAAGAAATTGTAGAAACCTATACGGGATGGGGAAAACAATTAATGTCACATTTTTTGTGAAACTGACTTTTTAGTCATATTTGTTAGCTCATTAGGGAAACTTTCTTTTATAGAAATCGGAATTGATTTCTGTAAAAAGTAAGTATGTCGTGGTAGCCCGGAGTTTAAGGTGCTTGCTTCTCATGCATGAGGGTGGACCTATAGTCAGAATTTTAATTCGATTCCTGATTTGACATTGACCACTGTCATTTTGTGAAATAATGATACCACATATAACAGTGTAGTGATGAACACAAAAATCGATAAACAATCAGTGAAATCAGTTTCAGGAAGGCATTAAAAAAATTACGGCTACCGAATGATCTAAATGTGTATCCCAATGTTTTCAAAAAAGAGGAAAAAATGAGTAAGCTATATATGTCAATGTACAATAAAAATCACAGACACAATTCATAATAAATGTTACAGAAAATAACAGCAATAGCGATAGCGATGACGGCAACAATTTATGAAATGTCTGTTTTATTTGTCACGTTCCTTCATGATCACATTTTTTATTAATTTTACACACAATTACAAAAGAAAAGTCTCAGATCGTTAATTAATTGTAAAAACTAAATTATCGGTTCCAAAATATTTTATTTCCTGACAAACTTAGTTTGCGAGAGTAAATTTATAAACGAGAGGAATCGATTCAGAAATATTCGATTTCCATATCGAATAATTTCGCAACGTCACTATTTATTACGTGTCATAACGTTGCAACACTGAAATTGTCAAATCTGGAATGGAATTAAAATTCCGAGTATAGATTCGAAACCTGGCAAGTACCAATTTGGCTTTTTCCGAGTTATATGTACTTTCTATGATTATTTAGACACCACTGACATACGGTGAAGGTAAACATCGTGAGGAAAAGAAATTTGTAAGTTTGTATGTTTATACATATATTTGCAAGTTTTTTTATGGAATAGGTGGCAAACGAGCAGACGGATCACCTGATGGTAAGCGATCGGCGCCGCCCATGGACATCCGCAACACCAGGGGAGTCACAGGTGCGTTGCCGGCCTTAAAGTTTGTATGTAGGGGATAATCTTTGGAACCGCTGCCGCGCTGGTCGGATTGCCAAAATTCTTTCACTGATAGATAGCTTCAATGTTCCTGAATGCTATGAGGCTATAAAACATCATGCTGCGATCAAATGGAGCAGCGGGTGAAACCGCACGAGAGAAGCTAGTATAACGTAAGTTTTAAATCGTGGACAATTTTAACTATTTACATGGAGATATTTTTTGAGAATCGTGTAGGTATTGGTTATTTGCTTCTGACAGCCACTTAACCTAACCTATGTGTGTTTCCAGACTATTATAGACGTCGCACGCGTATAAAAGTAATGTAACCCGGGGTTTAAAAAACACCAGCGTTTGTTCCATAGCCTATAATAGCACTCAGGAACATTGTAATTATCTATCAGTGAAAGAATTTTGACAATCCGACCAGCGGTTCCAATGATTACCCCCTACATACAAACTTACAATAGCTGTTTATAATATTAGCATAGATATATGTGCCAATTTCCATCAATATCCATTTAATAGTTTTTAGGTGAAATGGCAAGAAATATTCATCTATTCATGCAACACATTCAAAGAATTCGTATTATATAAATAGAAACAATACATGGGTTATCTTAAGTGCTTTCTACAAGTATCAACCTGCGTACTAGTTTTGGTAATTCCCATTTCATATGAACAATAAACGATGAGTGACTTATCAATAATTTGTAATTAATTACGATCTAATTGATAGTAAGTACCATTACTTATTTCATAAATGGTATTGTTTTATTAAAACTAGTTGGCCCAGTGACTCCGTACCGCATCAAAATGAACTATATTTTCGAATTTAAATAATAACAGTTTTGTTCCCTGTCTGATAAGAGCGGTTTATATAAGAAGGAAAATGTATGTCGTTACTTATTTTTTGCAATGTACATGGTAAAACGTAGTATGTTTGTTATTCCAGAGTATAATCTGTCTCTATGCCAAATTTCAGTCCGATCCCTTCAGATATTACGTGAAGGAGTAGTACGAGTAGTATTCTGCTATACAAATACTGTAGGTACCTCGAGTCGAGGAGAGCAATAAATCTTTTCTGTATGTGTAGTTTAAATCCTTTACCTAAATATATACAGAATACTTGTTACTTGCTTTGTCTACGCTTTTTATTTTGTGTATATATGTAACTAGCTAATCTCGCGCGGTTTCACCCGCTGCTCAGCTCCATTTGATCGTAGCGCGATCGATCGATCGATCGCAAGAACATTGTAGCTATCTATCAGTGAAAGAATTTTGGCAATCCGACCAGCGGTTCCAAAGATTACCCCCTACATGCAAACTTACAAATGTTAGCTCTTTATAATATTAGTATAGATGTACGTACGAAACATGTAAGAGTTTAATTTTGTTGTTTTTTTTTTCCTTATGTATGTAGTTTTTAATTGTTAAAGTTTTTTAATTTTATTTTAATATTTGTACGCCTTCACGGCAAAACATAGCGCACCTATATTATATAACCTAAGATCTAAATGTAAATACCTATGTTTCACAAATAAACATTCTGATTCTGATTCTGAAATACAATTGACGATATTTTATTATCAGAAGCTCAAAGCTAATCTGTAAAAAATACTCCGGAACAATGAAGACGACCCAAAGAGATTTAGGGTATACCATTGGAGTAGTATACATTTTCTGCAGCTCTAATAAAAATCTAATAGTCCCACTTCTATATTACGAACTTACCAGTCATGGTAAATATGCCGACGAAGAGGCCGATGGAGCGGCCAGCCAGCATGACCTCCTCCTCGGAGTCATTGCCTGCTGGCTTCTTGCGCCCCGCCCAGATGCCCACTGCCAGGATCAGCACGTAGAACAGAATGATCGAGATCACTCCCGCTATGTTGATCATCTTGATAGATGTTCCCTCCTCCTGCGAATATAGTATATTCATGGTATATTCTTTCACTTTAAAAGATTGTAAAGCGCATTATATCTGTGTTTGTAAGACAAAGTAACATTAAGATATTGTGCTTCAATTAATCATGAGACAAAAAGGAACTCTTTTATATTTGATATATCTTACAACAAAATTAATGTATTTCTTTATTTATCAAAAAATCTTATTCTATCTTAACTGCATTTTCCTAATGCGACAAATAACACCCTAAACTAAAACCTTGACTTACATTGATTTTATAGCGCACAATAAAAACAAACGTAGCTAATTATTAAGCCATCCAATTAAATCATTAACAAAATACAGATGATAACCATTTTATACAATAATACCTAACGGATCCTTGTATTTAGGCTGACATGAGCCACTACGAATATCCTGCGTTATGTACAAGGAATATAATATTTTTTTTTAATGATTAGGAAGCTCATTAGGTATACTAAACGCATGACTTTTCACCCCACTAGCAGCAAGACTGCAAGCAATTTCTTTATGAAACGGATTCACACACACACATACAGCTTTTATCAATAAAGCTGTATTATAAAACATACATATTATTTGTGTAATTGTTGCTTGCTTAAACTTAATTCCGTGTTGGATTCTATATAGAAGTGTAGTGACCTACTTAACATACCTACTATTATATATATACATTCAAAACCTGACAAATACACGAGCATTAAATTCACATAACCTTGTCAAATTTACGCGTATAAAGTTAATGTGAAACTCTGTTTCGTATCTCAAATGAGGCGACAATCCATTCCACGTGAGGCTGTTAAAAGTTAAACTAATAGCGAAGATAAAATTTGAGGAAGGAACAGTAGTCCTTATGATATTATTACACTGCAACTGACTGCACGGGTGGCACAGTAGTGGCTGGGCTGTTTATAGTGTCTCGGTTTCCTGCATTTTTTGTGAGATCCACCGATTTCTATTCTTGGTCTAGATGGTTTGATATGACGTTTGTGAATTTATTTATATGTTTCTAAACGCACCTACTCCACTGGAGTAAATCCTTGTGTGGGTTACGTTTTTAAAAGAAAACGATACAGAAGTTTATTGGATAGCATAGCAGTGAAAAATTCAGCAGTGTTCGGATTATACCTGTGACCTCACGCTCTAATAATAGCTCTGCAATCAATAACGATTCGTTTCATGCACTGATTGTACAGACATGAAGTTATCTGCACATCTCTTGCTGAGCACTCCGTGATGCTGGTGTGGGAACTACTACATGTCCTGCTCCATATATCATCAATACAAAATACGAATGTATACTTAATGCGGAGACTAATTCGAATACTTAAATAAAAATTAACTATATATAAATGAATATATTAAAATAGAGAATATAACAATACCAGTAGTAAAAGATAAGTTTTTGTATATAATAACAGCAACTACCCGACAAAGTTCGCAAACTGTAGCGTTGCTCGACTTTTATGAATAAGGATAATATAGTGAACGTAAGCTCACATAATGTAATGAGTAATGATTTACCAGTACGTATACAGACACACAAGGCAACTATATAGACATATGTAGGCGAACGCCTGGTTCTAAAGACTTCGCGTTTAGGAGGTTGTTAGATGTAGAAGTGCAGCACTTACAGTCAGGTAGATACGTCAGCGCGCGGTCACTCGGCGCCCATGAGTCGCGGCACGCACTACAGGTCCTGCACCACACTGGCTCACTGTCTCACTGCTCGCACTGCTCCGAGGAGTTACTGCTCGGTCGCGGCGGGCAACTGTCGCCCCATCGGAGGGAGGTTTTCTGTGAAGGGCTATTCCTGGTCCTGAAGCTTAGCCCGCACATGGGTGGTTGACGGACATGAATACACGTGGCGTGCCCCTATGTGGCGGCTGCCAGCATCCTCCAGGCTCTGTTCACGTGCTCCGGAGGTGACAGGAGCCGAGGAGCTGTGTCGAGGCGCGCCGAGCCGCGCGATCGATGCCTCTGACGTCATTGGTCGCCCGAAACCCGCCGCGCGCATGCGCCGCGCTGGCTCCGGCCTTCTCCACCTTACACGCTGCTCACTACGCCCCCGTACATTACCACTCAGGTGCCTAGGTCTACATCGCGCCGACCTTATGTACTCAGCAATGTATCATGGTCACAGGAAAGCTTCGGCCTTACATAAAAGGAGGGGAGGTAACGTAACGGCCCGGCACCAGCGTACTCCCATTGACAAATTGATGGATGACGAGGTACCGTTACAACAGTTACCTTTATCTGGAAAAACAGACAGGCATTGATCTTACTTAAGACAGAAGTAATTTAATTAAAATTAAATGCTTAATAAGATATAGGAGGATTTCGTAGAAGCTCGTAGTTCGGCTACGACCTACGTAGCCGGTCTCGTAGTCCGTAGCAGAGATACCCGTGTACGTAGGTAGTTACAGTTATTCGCTGAGTAATTCGTTGACACAGTTTAGAGATAGGTCAAGTTTTATTGAAATATTTTTCCAAATTATATACCCGTATAATAATTACATCACCAAAACGGGTCGCCTGTTCCTTCCAGGCATAATAGGAGGTGATTGCTGTTGTTTTAAGTATAATTGGTTACAACAAATAAAAAGATCAAACGGTTCAGGCACAGCTATAAATTGAAATACAAGATACCTATCTATATTAATAAAATGGATCACCAAAATGTATATTTGCACGTAACTCTAACCGTTTTTTATGGAAACGTAACGGCAAGCGTACTGGTCTACCTGAATTCGTGCCATAATTACAATCGGAAATAAAAACTCATTCATTCGACCGCTTTGCTCTCTGATGAAATGTAAAGTAAATAAAAATATTACACAATCGAATCGTTACAAAATACTTTACGTCATCCCGCTATGGCAGTTGTCTGACGTTAATTATCAAATGTAAAATTTTGTGTTTATTTGAAAAATATTCAAAATTATCGCCAACCAACACCTTGTGATATAAACGCAGTAGGTATGAGAGAGCTTACAGGCCCCGGCACACTTTAGATATTAGAAATTCATCAACGGCATCACAATGCACGACACGGTAAGTCGGGGTTTGTTGATGATCTGTTTACCTGTAACTTAACCATACTGACTGAACTAAGCTAAACCACAAATATTTGCGTAGGCTGGACAGGCGGCAAAGTATATTTAAGTACTTACCTACATAACTCCAATAAAATAAAGTTATTAAGTCGCGTTATAATTGGAAACGAGCCTGTAGTCATTATATAATCCCTATATATATGACTTTCATTCACAATGTTTTGTTCTATCTACTCGTATTTAAAAGCAATAAGAGTTAAGACTAAACGCGTTATGTTACCACGTGTATTTAAAGTAACTGAGGGCCTTTTCCTCCCAGTCCCTTAAGTCCCGGCAGTACACTTGCAGCCCTGGTGTTGTGTGTGTCCATAGGTGGGTTCAATTGCTCAAACAATCTCATCAAACATCAAATCAGACAATCTGTGCGCTAATTATGCCCACAGATAGTTCGGCTGGCAGATGTGTGGAAGACGTGCAACAAGATCCGCGCGGCTGCCTTCCGTGTCGGACTCAACCTCTGGGACTGGTACCGTCCTCTGGACCCTGAGGGCAACTCCCTCATATCAGGTATGATGAGGACTGGATGATGATGGTGGTGGTGATGATCAGCCTGTAAGTGCCCACTGCTGAGCAAAGTCTCTTCTCACATGGAGAAGGTTTGTGCATTAATCATAATGCTTGCTCAAGGCGAATTGGCGATTAAAAAAAATACAGCACCGTATTATTTATAGGCTTGAAAAAAGATCTTGGTACTCAACTTGTAGCACTAAGTTGCTTTATTATTAAATAGCTACTAACTACTAAATAGCACGAAGCTGCATTATTTAATAATAAAGCAACTTAGTACTATAAGTTAAGTTGAGTGTACCTACTTCATTCTTATAGAGTCAAAGTTCGTATCAATATTGGCTGGCCCGCTGCGGTCGGTGGTGGGACTGTCCGACTCGGAGATCGCTCAGCTAGCAGACTACTTCCGGGCGCAAGATGGCCGCGTGCTGTACCACCAGCTCTGCCAGATCATACACGGGGAAGGTGAGATGACTGCTGTTTATTTATTAGCAAAGGGCCGTCGTTTGGCTACTGCCTCACCTGGTGGTATGCGATGATGGGACCTACGATGGAGCACGCCTACCCATAAGCAAGCTATTCACTCGGGCCTTGAACACATCCAGGTCTTTCGGGGACAAAAATTCTACGTCTTAGCAGTTCTGATGAAAAAACCGCGTGCGTGCAGGTGGAATATAAATACGCCACAAAGCGATGACGTTTTGCTAATTGTCGGCTAGTACGGAGGTGGAAAGGACGGTTTCACCTTCTATTGAGTTTGCCATTATGTATAGTTAAGTGGGCTAAGATGGTTACTATTGTAATGTATGTCTGTTTCTTTCAAACCCGATGGTTTGATAAAGTTAGAGAGAGAGTACTTGTAGAATGAAGATGCATTGACGTGGAGCGGGAATATATCTCGATACTTTGCATTTTCAGAGAGCCAGACGTGGGCCAACTACTTTGATACTAGGCTGAGAGCCACGTAGTGACGCTCTCCCGCTGTGTCCGGGACCTAGCATTTTATTTTTGAAACTTTTCAAGTAAACATTCAAAAATATTATTTTGTTTAATTTCGTTTGATTCTTGTATATTTTGCTCTATGCATTGCAAGAGATGTAAAGTCTGCAAGAGGGCAGCACAGGTGTGCAGTGGATGGCTTTATTTAGCAACAGTTACCGGGTCAGGCAATCAATAAGACGTGGCCCACACTGCTCCCGTACTTCGACCTGAAATTCCATTCTATTTTAATATTGCCAATGGCTACTGCGCGCTGTCTAGACTCATATACAACTCAGATGTTCTTATACCAACAAGTTTATTATATAGCCTCGATTTTACCTCTTGGTCAAATGTAATCCAAAACGAATTCCTTGATAAAATAATTAATTTGTGAGGTAACTGTGATGT